GCAGGTTGAAGCTGCAGTGGCCATGAGCAGCGTGCCACTGCACTCCAGCCTGGGCGACAGAGTGAGATTCCAACTGGGGTGGGGGGAAGTAATAGGTATGTGTTTTTAAAATATATTAATCATTAGCATCTAATCTAATGCCTGCTGTGATTTCAAAATATTGACTAACATGAATGATATTTCAAGATCTATAGCTACTGTAATGCGATATGGAAATATTTTTGATTTCTACTAGTGACAAATAAGTGCCACTGATAGTCACCAGGTTTTTTTCTGTTGCATTCATAACTGATGATGATACTAAATTTCAGTTAGAAGTTAGTGAAAATAAAGAGGGAACATGTTTTTCTTCAACTTAAGTTCCCGATTTCATGTTCAACAGGATTTAATAATACTGTTATTCTAAGACCATGTTTTAATTTTAGTTTACTTCTATTAGAAACCTGTTATGGGGCCCCTTGTAGTTTTTATTAGTCTCTTATTTTACCTGATGTCCATTCAGAAGACAGATGTTTACTGAATTCATGTTTTGGGCATGGAATACGGTAGGAAGGATGCCAGATTGAGTGAGTGAATGTTTATGCCCCTAAGTAGCTGGTGAAATACTTTTTATTTTATTCTTTTAATAAACCAATATAAATTTTATTAAAATCTGATAAAGGTTTTACCTCTTCTGAGTTTTGCTTTTTTTTTTTTGAGTTGGAGTCTCGGTCTGTCGCCCAGACTGGAGTGCAGTGGCCGCCCCCGGCCACCGCAGCCTTGACCTGCTGGGCTCCGGCGATCCTTCTGCCTCAGCCTTCCAAGTAGCTGGAACTACAGGCACGTGCTACCACACCCAGTTTATTTTTTTTTTATTTATTGTAGAGATGAGGTCTCACCAAGTTGCCCAGGCTGGTCTCGAACCCCTGAGCTCAGGCAATCCTTTCACCTTGGCCTCCCAAAGTGCTGGGATTACAGGCTGAGCCACCGAGCCTGGCTTGCATTTTTTTAATACTAATTTTCGGGAAGGATTGACAAAATTCCTGGCTTGCCTGATCATGAATTGCCTGCAGCTGTCCCTAAGATAGGAATTCTCAAGCTGCTTCTGGAGATTGTTTCAGGATTTTCTAAGTGGGCCATGGGTAAATCTGTCTTTTAACAAACTGACCAGATGGAGTCTTATTATCAGGTAAAGTTTAGAAAAGCTTAGCTGGATTATACTTTAACATGTACATAGAAGAAATTAGACTTGTCATACCAGTAGTTATTTTGAAGAGAAAGGATCATGTCATTGATGTTTTGTCTCCATTTTCAAGAAGAGTCTTCACCACAGTGGGGCAGCTTTATAGAAAGGGCTGGCATTATCAGACATTGCCAGACAGTTTTCTGTAAGGAAAAGGGGTTTGGTTTTCATTTCATCTGGCCTATGAATACTAGAGTGGATGCCCCAAAATAGAATTATTTTTTGGAGGGTGGGTCCCTTGTAGAACAGGCTTCCCCCGTGGGTAAGTGTTCTAGGAAACCATCAGCATCCATGTATCAGCTAGCATTGTTGTGAGAGGCTGTGTTTGGCTTCAGTGAAGTTTTTTGAAGATTCTTTCAGTGCATTTGCACATTTCACGATGGGTAATTTATGAGTGCACCTGCCTACGGCATGCTGAGTATTCAGCAGTTTTTTAACCAAAAACAGTATGACCTCCATGCTGTTCGCCCAATCTCCCACCAAGCAATTTTTTTTGTTTCCTCAATGAAAAAAGTCCTCAGGTGGAAACGCTTTCCCAAGTGGTAGAAGTGAAACAAAAAACAGCAGAAACACCAAAAGACACCAAAACAGATGAGTTCAAAAACTGTTTTGAGCAGTGGAAGAAGCTTGTCAACAGGTATATTGCATCAAATGGAAAGTCCTTTGAAGGTGACTGAAGTTTAGCATGTAAAAATAAATACACAAAATTTTATACATAAATTCCAGGTTTTTTGGGGGCTTCCCATAAAGTGACTATATTTTGTGAACTCAAAGTCTGATTTATTAACTTCTTGTGGGTGAGACTATCAATATAATTGTTTTATTCTTCAGTGTATATAGTATATCACCTTTGAAAATACAAAATTATGTCAAGAAGGGATATGTAACAAAAGGAAATAAACCAAAGTTGTATTATTGTAAAAAATGATCTATTCAAGGCAATGGGGAAAGTACTTCACATGCATATGTGCTCTTCAGGAAACATTTGGATGAATTAGTTGAAAACAACTGCCCTGCATGGTAGATGTGTGATCACCATTTGCATTTGAGGAAATTGAGACTTAAAGTAGCTGAAGAATGTGCCCAGGTCACAGAGCTGATGGAAAGCTGGAATTTAACTCCAAGTATTTCTGATTCCAAAGTCTTTATATATGGCTGTAATAGCCACATTTTTAAGTCTGCACCTGGCAAAATATTCTCTGATGTATCATGGGGTGGGTGGAGGTGTGGTGTGTCCTTACACGTGTGTACACATGCACTTATCTCATCCTCTGATGTCGTGTTCCATCTTTTACATCTGGTTCTTGGTCCATTCCACCTTCCTCCTTACGTGTCAAACCAAGAAGTTGTTTATTATTATTAATTTAAAAAGTTTTATATCTACTATCTGTGATTGATAATGCTGGTAATTAACTTGTGTTTCTTTTACATCGTTTAAAGAACTTAAAAATTTGTTTTTGCTTGTGAATTTATGATGCTAGGCAGTAAGCCTATACCTAACCTATGATCTAAGTTCTCATTAGAGCTAATTGCTCCAGTGAAAACAAATCTAATAAAAATATGATGACTTGTGATCGTTGAAGATGACCGCAGCATGGAGAGGAAGGAGGGAAGCAGTGGGCGGATGTCAGTCAATTTGGTACTTACTGGTTGTATAAAACTGCTGAATATCCTGGAAGGTAGGAATTGTATAGAATGTTCCAGGCCTTGTGAAGTTGTGGTACTAGGCAGGGAAAGGCATCCTTATTCCTGGACAGTGACGGAGTTTCCAGTGTGGAAGTAAAATGTGTTCAGGAGGAGGAAGCTGGGTAGGTGAGCGGACGCTGCCACTCCTGCTTGGTCACTTCAGGTTAACTCTGCCTGCTTTGGATCGGGGTGGGAAATGGGAAAAGCCACTTCAGCCATCAGTGTTCTGTCTGACAAGGTTGTAGAAAGTGGCCCAAGAATGACGCCAAGTCTGAATTGGCCAGGCTAACTTGTCACCCATATTCCTGGGTTTGTAGAGCTCTCCTGACTCGCCATGCCCTTTAGAAACTGTCAGGGAGTTTGTACAAAAGGGTTGGTACTTCAGGTGATGGTAGAAGATGCCAGATGAATGGGGCACGAGGTTCATCCCTGGGGTCACAAGTTTCTACCGTCTTCTGGAACAGGGATGTCTTTTATTGCTGTTCTGTTGCAGGGACCTGTCTTAGCGCTCACACGTAGTTAAACTGGGGATTGGGAAGGGCCTGCCTTTAAGACCAGCAGTTCCTCCTCTGCTCTGCTCTTTCTTTGTGTTTGTGTTCTGAGGAAATTTTCTTTTCAGTTTGGCACCAGTTGTCTCTGATTCAGTGGTTGTTACTTCCCTGGATGCAAATGCCATTTGCCCCTCCCTCACCTCTCCCCGGCCTCAGACCCGTCTGGGCTAGAGACTGAATAATGTGTTTTTCTACTCTTGTGCACTCATTGTAGTGCCATTTGGGAGCCAGCTGTCGGGTGGGACAGCAGCTGCAGGCCTGGACGCTGAATGCCAGGCTCTCTTCTGAGGGAAGAGCAAGAGCTGTTCCCTCACATAGCACTGGAGTTACTTCAGAGGGGCCCACTGGCCTCACATCAGGGGTGCAGGCAGCTGGGACCCCACGATACGAAGCTAGACCATGCTCTGGTAGTTCTTTATTGAGTGGTTTGAATGTAACCAGTGTTAGAATAGAACTGTGCACACCTTGGGTCCTTGCTGCCCTGAGTGTGGGCCATGAACGGTGCAGTAAAACCCAAAAGGGTCTTACATGCAGCTCTGCTTTCAAAGCATCCTACTGTTATGACTTTTTAATAGTGTAAGTTAATGTTCTGCTGTGCCATTTTAGTATATTAAGACAGTAGGTTATTATTTTCTACATAGCAAATGTTTAGTTGGTTGCTTTATATAGCTGAATAAAATTGTTTAGGCACAGATAGGTTATTTGGGGTACTATTTAGAATGATTACAACTTATGCATTGTAATTTTTTTGAGTCAGTTTATTGTATCTCAAAAATGCACTTCTGTGTTACTGTTTACTTGAGGATAGGGTAGGAGAAAAATAAACATAAAAACAAAGATATTTTATCAAAACAAAAATACATGTTAAGATATTAAGATGTTATAGTGGTTTCCCAGCCTGTTTTTATGTTAACTTTCTCAAAAAGCAGAAGTGAGGGGAAGGTGAAGGAGAGTTCCTTCAGTTTGCGATTTCCAATTTGGAATGCGATTAAAATGAAAGAAGGATATTTCATGAATACCAGGAAGGGCAAGATTGTCTCCAGTCAGACTGAAGCTCTCCCTAGCATTGTACAGTTGCAGAGGAAGGGAAGCTTGAGGAGGAGGAGGAGTTAGCTTTTGGAGTTGAGGTGATGGTGTTTGATTGGCATGTATAGCCAGCATTTTCCAATTCACATGTTATCCTTCATGAGTAAGAAACAATGACTGCCCATGTGGTAATTTTAGTGGCTGTAAGGGCTGCTTGCTGGCATTCTACTCCAGAATAAAGACTATATGTAGATATATTATGTTGCATCATTTGGGCAAATATTCCATTTGAGATCCAAGAGAATAAAGCCCTTGAGATGTACCTTAAAAGTGTTTGAATATTTTATTTAACACGGTACGCACCAGTATTTAGCTCAGCGGAATGCAACCTGCATTGAATAAGACTTTATTAAAATATCCTTACACTTAAATAAGTATGGGAACTGTAAACTGTTCTGTTTTGGACTCTGGAATATTTCTTATGGGTTAATTAACCTTTTTTCCCCCTTCTGCAGAACTGGCTAGATCCCGCAAAAGAAATAAAGAGACAACTGCGAAGTGAGTATTTAAAGAATCATGCATTGAGGCTAAGTCAATCTTTACAATGGTTTCCATCTTTATGAAAATTTATAGGGATATAAACTAAGACAACAAGATAGTGATTGAATGATCAGTCTTATTTTGCATCTATACCATCTCAAAAGTTAATAATACTAATATTTTTGTAGACTCGAGACTGTTTATTTTGTGGCTTAGGGACTCTTGTCTTTCAGGAAGTTCTAGACTCAAATTGCTGAATATTCACTTACAATGCCTGCTACCACGAAGTAACATCTGCCTTTTCTGTCCGGGAAAGAATGAGAAGCTACTTTTCTGTAAATTTTACTTTTTATGTAAATTTTACTCTAGGTAGACCTGACACTGTATTTTGGCAGCGTATAATTAGTTTAGTAATAAGCATCTCTTTGGCCCTAGAGGCATATAGAGATGCTGTTCCTAGATGTCCTGGGGAAGCGGGTGGAGGGGAAGCAGGGAGGAGCAGCCTTTCGGGTTCTCTGAGGTCATTGCCGTCTCTGTTCCTTACTGGTTTTGTAATCCAAGGCCACTTCACATGTTCTTTGAGTCTGGGTTTCTAGTTAGGCCTGCTTGTCCCTTTCTTCCCATTTCCTCATTTGTTCTGGTTGTAGTGTCCCCAGATGACCTCACTTGCCCCATTCTAACCAGCTTCGGCTCCCTCTGTAGGTTCTGGCTTTACTGGTTGCGTTGCCTGTGGCTGACTTTGTAATACTTGTACCAGAAACAGTCACGGCAGAGAACTCTCTGTTAGGGGATCTGAATACTTAATTTACTTCAGGGTTTCTCAGAGGCAGAGAAGGTAGGCAGCCACAAGCAGCTGGAATTTTTAGCCGGGAGAACAAGATCTGAAGCTGGGAAATTCCTCCCAGCCCTCTTAGACTGCGGGCCCCATAGGTGTGGAGGGAGAAACTGCTTCTCTTAGGTGCCAACCTGCAAGATGCCCTGTTGCTGTGTTGTTAATTTCATTTCCCTGTTTGCTTAGTATTCCTAAAATCAAAATGCTGGAACAAATGTGTGCTTTCCTTTCTTCTCCTTTTCATCTACCATCTGTCTCCCATTTTAGGCTCTCTACATTTTTCTTCATGTCTTTCATTCTTTCTCAAATTACTTATCTTTCTGGTAGTCTTCATGTCATATTTGTCCTCTTCTACTCTTCTTTTGTATATTGAGTGTGTACCTTATTTTGCCCATCTTCTCTCCTTGTGGACTCCTCTTTCTTTTCCTTTTTTATATTATCTTTGGTTAGAGTGACCAGCCTTCCTGATTTGCCCAGGAAATCAGGACTCCGGGGCTTCTCGGGATGTGGAACTTGTAGTGCTGTAGTTGAAATAGTCCCAGGCAGTCTGGCATGGTTAGTCACCCTAGCCTTTGACTATTCTTCTGACTTTCCAGCATTTTTCTTTTGCATTTATTATCTTGGTGTCTTATCACGTTTGCTTCATGATAGGGGTGGGGGGGGGGAATAAGTGGACACAGATGCATTATGCTTACATTATAGAGGAAACCGTACCAGAAAACTTTGGAGCTTTTTCCTTTTTCTCTTCTGCAGTTGTTACTTTACAAAGTGCAGGATTTTAAAAAGGTTACAGATGGTTGGTTCTTATGCTTTCTCTGAAACCAGACCTGCCAAGTGGTGACCCAAACAGAGAGAGAACAGGGCAACCTCTGAAACATGATTGATGTTCCATTGAGTTGTTTTCTACGGTTTTGTTTGGGTTCTTGTTTGATTATTTTTATGTGCCACTCACTTCAGAGTAATGGAGATTTCCTAACTTTTGGAAGGCAAGACTCTTGCTGATTATGAATCACATTCTTATGTTTTGATTATTTGTGAAGTCTTTTTAAGAGTTATTTCGGGACTTTTGCCCTTGTGGTTTGGCAAGTTGAATAACAGTAACAAATTGGGCTTTTTAAAACTATTGCAGCCAGTTCTTTAAATGGCACCTTGTGCTGCTCCCATCATGAAAGTAGGCTGAGGAAGTGAAGTTTCAGCTGTTGTATTTACCTCTTTGATTCTGCTTATGTTAAAGTGGACGGAAGAATTACCTGTTTCATCTTAGCCCAGCCTCTGCTATGATTTTATTGTTACTTTTCAGTTAGTAGGCAATTAGCAAAGATATTAATCTCTTTGAGTTACTTATGACAACCAACAACCTAATGGTTCCCATTTAAAATCTGCCTTAAAACATTTATTTTCTCAAACGTACATAAATAAGACTATATATCTGAGGCTTGCATATAATTAATACGCAAGAAGAATAAATATATGCAGAAGAACTGCTTACATTTATCTAGATAAAAGTTATTATAATATAGAACTAAAAATTTACTTGAAAAGTGCTAAGAGTAGATTCTGAGTGTTCTCATCACAAAAATAGGTATATGTGGTATAATGCATATGCTAATTGACTTGATTGAGCCATTCTACATTGTATACATATTTCAGAGCATTATATTGTACATCACAGGTATATATAACTTATTTGTCAATTTAAAATAGTTTAACGTTATTGGAGCATTTGAATAACTTTTAGATTTAGATATACATCCTGAAATATAAGTGTTGTATAAAAATGTATCCAGGAAAGCATGTGTTAGTATTAATACTTAGAAAACAAATAAGCAAGCAGCCATTAAGAAATGATAATCCCACGATGATTTTGTTTAATTATGAATTAGCAGTCACTCAAAGATATATATACACAATGCATAGTCAGCAATGCTACAGGCCAGGAAACATCATATCTCTTGATATTCAGGAAGATCCTAATTCCATTATTGTGTCTTTTAAAAATACTTATTTATTTATTTTGAGTCAATGTCTCACTTTTGTTGCCCAGGCAGTGGCGCAGTCACAGCTCACTGTAGCCTTAATCCCCCTCGGTTCAAGCAATCCTACCAACTCAGCCTACTGAGTATATGCTGTCATGCCTGGCTAGTTTGTTGACTTTTTTTATAGAGAGGAGGTCTCACTATGTTGCTCGTTCTGGTCTCCAAGTCCTGGGCTTAAGTAGTCCTCCTGTCTCAGTCTCCCAAAGTGCTGGGATTACAGGCATGAGCCTCTGTGCCTGGAATTCATTATTATGTTTTAAATGTGTAAAAACAGAACTGAAATATATTTCTTAAGTTCAGCAAGATTGACTTTATTAGTAGGATAGTGATATATTGAACCAAAGTTCAGCAAACGTGCCATGTGTGTACATAGTAGTCATTCAGTAAATATTTGTTGACAAGTGATAAAAAAGATAGTGTGCTGATGATGAGAAAAAGGACAAAATGGGCCAGGCTTGGTGGCTCAATCTGTAATCCCAGCACTTTTGGAGGCCGAGGCGAGTGGATTGCCTGAACCCGCCCGTTTGAGACCCACCCGGGCAACTTGGCAAGACCTCGTCTGTACAATAAATCAAAAATTAGCTGGCGTGGTAGCGCAAGCCTGTAGTTCCAGCTACTTGGAAGGCTGAGGCCGAAGGATCACTGGAGCCCAGCAGGTCAAGGCTGCGGTGACTGGAAGCGTGCCACTACACTCCAGTCTGGGTGATAGTGAGAGTCAAACTCAAAAAAAGACAAAATGATACATTGAATAAGAGAATGAGATTCAAGAAATTTTTCTTCAAGTCCATAAATTAAAGATCTTGTGAGATCTACACATATGTATAGAATGGAATAACTTACATGTACACACACATATAACTTCTTTGCTTTTATTTAAAGATTCTGTGAACTTTGAGCAGAATTCTGAATTCAGGCTTGTGAAATTATTTTGAACCCTTTAGGACAATAATGCAGGCCCTTCCCCCCATAGTTTTATTTATTAAGCCATACAAAACATGATGTATTAAAATAACAGTTAAATTTTAATGTATGAATAGTAAGGTTTTAACTTTGTCATTTATGACATGGTTGTCACATGTGCTTGGTTGTTACAGTATGGTGCAACAAAGTATATGTTATATGTGAGTATACTTCCACCTACTCTGTGAAACCTGGAAAATCATTTTATTGTCTTAAAGTATGGTGAAGTTTTATACCCTTTCCCTTCCTTGGGACATCTTTGAACACTACCTTCAAATAGCCCATCAATCATTTTCTAAATAACTGTTACAATCACCTGATCATTACTCCTTTCCTCCCACATTGTAGAAATCCTGAAATGCGTCTTTTTTTTAAAGAGTGGAAAATATTAAGCAACTGGAGATCGTGTGATTAAAACAAATCGTATCTCAGAACTCTTAAATGAAGATGATAATAACATTTTTGCATAATGGATCACAATGTAAAACATCTGTTAAAGTATACCAGTAAATGTTTATAAGAAAGTGAACGAACCTGTTACTCTTTAGTGGTGGGTTATTTATGGAATTTACTTCTATTTTATTTTTATTTCACTTTTGTTTTATAAGTGATATTTTCTTTCAATTAAAAAATTCTGCAAATCAGCTGATAGTGGGATTAATTTGTACTGTTGGACCATTGACCTTTCAGTTTTGCCAAAATAAATATTCTGATTTTTGGTAAGTAACTATGATATTTAATAATTCCAGATCTTCCCTGGCTGTTCACTTTTAATGTGAAGTTTTATCCTCCTGATCCTTCTCAACTGACTGAAGATATCACCAGGTACTTTATGTTTGCATTTTATTATTATTTTAAAGGCGTGGGGTACAATTCAGGTTAGGTACATAAGCGGGCATCGTACAGGTAAAGTTTGGGCCTTCCTTTGTTCCCCACTTTGCCTGATTTGAGAATCAGGTACCCTTATGGATGTTATGCTCCCACCCTCTCCACCCCCTAGCAGTTTCCTGCTACTGCCAATCCCTTTCTTACAGTATTCTGATTAATATTCAGGGTCTGCTTATGAGTAAGAACATGTGCTACTCATATCTTTGTTTCTGTAATAGATCACTGAATATTATAGACTCTAAGTCCATTCCAAGTTGCTACGAAGTCCATAATTTTTTCCTTTTTAATGATTACATAATATTCCTGTGTGTGTGTGTGTGTGTGTGTGTATGTGTATACACTCACTTAAAAAAAAAAATCTAAGCCGGGCTCAGTGGCTCAGCCTGTAATCCCGTGCTTTGGGAGGCTGAGGTGAGTGGATTGCCTGAGCCCACGGGTTCGAGACCCGCCTGGGCAGCGAACACCTCATCTCTACAATAAATCAAAAAATCAGCCAGGCGTGGTAGCGCATGCCTGTAATTCCGGCTACTTGGAAGGCTGAGGTGGAAGGATCGCCGGAACCCAGCAGGTCGAGGCTGCAGTGGCCGGGAGCGGCCACTGCACTCCAGTCTGGGGCGACAAAGTGAGACTCCAACTCAAAAAAAAACAATCTAGTCCAGCATGGTTGGTTTCATGTTTTTGTTATTATGAATAATGGCTGTAATAAACATGTGTGTGCAGGTATCTTTTTTATAGAGTGATTTGAGTTCCTCTGGGTATATTCTCAGATATTTGCATTTCAAAATGAACCTTTCCATATAGTTCTCATTTAATTCTGTGTCCTGGGACCATGGTGGTAATTTCAGGATTGAAAACCAAAACAAGTTGTCAAAAGTTAAATTTTGGAAGTTTCCTTGGAAATGGATACACTCAAATAGTTTGAAATATTGCCAGTTTCAAAATTTTTATTCACTTTCTTTATTTATAGTTAAGTAATGAACATTTAAAGCATGGTAACCAAGGACATTGTGCATCAACAAGTACCATGACACCTTAGCCCTATTAGACTATGAATCACTTACAGGGTTTCTTAGCTTAGCTTTGGTAAGAGTAAGTATAAAGTTGATTTTTACATACATTATTCTGAAAAGGTTATTTATTTATTTATTTATTTTTGAGTTGGAGTCTCACTCTGTTGCCCAGACTGGAGTGCAGTGGCTGCTCTCGGTCACCGTAGCCTTGATCTGCTGGGCTCTGGCGATCCTTCCACCTCAGCCTTCCAAGTAGCTGGAACTACAGGCGCGTGCTACCACGCCCGGCTAATTTTTGATTTATTGTAGAGTTGAGGTCTCGCCAAGTTGCCCAGGTGGGTCTCAAACCCATGGGCTCAGACAATCCACTCACCTCAGCCTCCCCAAGTAAAGGATTACAGGCTGAGCCACCGAGCTCGGCTTGAAAAGGTTATTTAAGGCAAGGACAACTGTGTGCAGTGTATATACTTTTAAGAAAGTAAGGGGCCTTGGCAAAATATCTGGTTCCTGTGTCTTTGATCCTTTCTGCTAAGTCAGTTTTGTTATCAGACATCAAGTTAGGGAGGTGTTTATTAGAGTACACGATATCCATGTGAAATAGGAGGAATGGAGATTTATTTCCGATGTTGGAGAAATATCAGACTTCTTTTTTTTCTTTCTTCACTACTTGTTTCTGAATAGGAATGTACTTAATTAAGTTCTGATTGAATTAACTTCAGGTAGAAAATAATAAATAGTAGGTTCTATAACTGCACAGCGAGCCACTTAGAGCATGAAACCTGATGAGTTGGTGTGTAGGATGCATAGCTCTCTGTAGGAGGACCTCTGAACAGTGTTTGTCACTGGGGCTTTGTGACCCAGTGCTCTCTCTCTACATGTACTGCTCCTTGCCATAATTTGTTTGGGGGAAGATGATCCTTTGGTGATTGCAAATTTATAGCATCAGTAGGTGTTTTGGTTTTTCATCCGAAGAGAGCTTGAACAGTTTCCCTGTCTGAGTGGGAAAAATGAAATAATCTGCTAAGCTAACTGAAGATCTCAGTGGTCTGGTAGCTTAAATGTTATTATTAAAATCTTCGACATGACTTGAGCGGACATTTAAAAGGTAGGTTATGCTTTTGAGGAAGGCAAGGCCACTATTTAGAATGATGTTTGAAAAAGACTTTGTAGTGCTGTGTGAAGAAGATGGAGCTGGGAAATTCAGGAAGCTCTTGTCATTTTTGTTGTTGTTGTTGAGGTTTTTAGGGCTTAGGCTTCAGCTTTAAAAACAGAGGGAAAGGACCATTGTGAAAAGCCGAGGCAATAATATAAAAAGAAGCTACAAGATGGAATCTTTGTATTTAGGTTCTAAAAGTGTCATAATAAGTGGAAAGCTGGCACAATTCTTGGGATTAGAGAATTTGAGGATTATCAGGAGCCATTGTTTAAAGTTTAGTGTTCTAATGCGAATGCATTTGTGCTCATGTTGTTCCAGGGGTCAAGGAAACAGAATCCTCCTTAAAGAGAGAGCCCCTGCAGTGCACAAAATTACTAAGACTGTAGTGATAATGAGAAGAGCTTTCATTCTCTGGGCAAGTTATTGAGCACTTGCCATATGGCAAGCACTTTGCTAACTGTGGGGCGATAATGATAAACAGTCTCTGCCCTTTCTCATGGTAGATTTGGGTGGGAATTCAGGTGTAACTGAACTGACCTGGGACCACATGCTTGGTCGTGCTCTCCGACCCAGTAATATTGAGATGGACCAGAAACCAGCACCCCCCATTCTGATCGTATCAGGTAGAGAGCAGAAAGAGGATTATGTCCTAAAAACTAAGCCAGCCACAGTATTTACGGGAAGAAGTGGCCACCTGGTGGTAGGAATGGCAGTCTCAAAAAGATCTTCTGACTGAGGGCCCCACCCTTGACTAAGGCTGCTGGTGACTTAGCATGTGGTGGAATTTGAGAGTAGAAATCAGGTTTTAAAATGTCACCAAAAGGAGTTGATAATGGGCCGAAAAGAAATTAAGCCCTATAGAATATAAATCACCATGTTTCTGCATGTTATTTAGTGGAAAACAAATTCTTTCATACCTGTGTATAAGCCACTGGAACATTGAATGAGAATAACTATTATTATAGCCAATAATGATTATTATTAGAGCTACCAGTTATTGATTCTCAGACATCATGCCAGATGTTTTATTTATATTATCTAATTTTTACCCTTATCTTCAAAAGGAGGTAGAATTCTTAGCATCTTACAGGTAGAAAATTAACCTTAGGCAAGTAAATTAGTTAGCTCCAGGTCACAGAGAATCGGCTCCCGCTTGCTTCACATCCCATGCTTTTTCTAATAGCGCTAGCTGCCTCTTTAGATGGGGAAAGCGGACATGTCAGGGCTTCAAAGGTGAGATTGACCTATAATTGTTTTTTTTTTTTTCCCCCCGAGTTGGAGTCTCACTCTGTCACCCAGACTGGAGTGCAGTGGCCGCTCCCGGCCACCGCAGCCTTGACCTGCTGAGCTCCAGCGATCCTTCCGCCTCAGCCTTCTGAGTAGCCGGAATCACAGGCATACGCTACCACGCCTGGCTGATTTTTTGATTTATTGTAGAGATGAGGTCTCTGCCCAGGCGGGTCTCGAACCCGCGGGCTCAGGCAATCCACTCACCTCAGCCTCCCAAAGGCACAGGATTACAGGCTGAGCCACTGAGCCCAGCTTAATTGTTGTTAAAGGTGTTTCAGGAAAAGAAGTGATTGGTATGAAAAGGGTAAAGATGTTAAAGAGAGTACATGATCATAATTCTCCTGCAGATGATGGAGACTGCAGCTGTCTATCTGTTTATTTATTTTTGAGTCAGATTCTCGCTATGTGTCCAAGGCTGGAATATAGTGGCATGATCACTGCTCACTATAGCCTCAAACTCATGGGCTCAAGTAACCTCCCACCTTAGCCTCCTGCATAGCTGGGACTACAGTTGTGCATGACCATGCCTAGCTAATTTTTTTTTTTGGTGGAAACGAGGACTAGCTCTGTTGCCCATGCTGGCTGGTCTCAAACTCCTGGGCTCAAGTAGTCCTCACACATTGGCCTCTCAAAGTGCTGGGATTACGGGTGTGAGTCACCATGTCCAGCTGGTTATTTATTTTTTATTTCATTAGTTTTTATAACTTTGAGGGCTATACTAATTTTTATTATAGTTTTAAATCCGAGGAGACCGTTTAAGTGATTGAAAGTTTTACTTCTGTCAGAAATTCATAATCATAGACTTAAGTATTATTAGGACAGAAGCTCAGAGTTTCCTTTCTATTAATTATCCTTCTGGACTCAATTTCTAGAAATAAGCCATAGTTTAGGAGCTCAAGGAACAAGGTGAGGCTTTCTTTTAGAGACTTTGTGCTCTGGATATGAAGCGTGCCTCTACTGTATATTTGTTTTAAAGGAGTATTAGAACTTAAGGATTATGAGTGCTATGGACTTGACTAACTGTTCTCTTCTGACCCTTCTCTTCCTCTGTTCCTTGCAGATATTTCTTGTGCCTTCAGCTCCGGAAGGACATTGCCTCTGGCCGCCTGCCCTGCTCTTTTGTGACTCATGCCCTTCTGGGATCCTGTACACTGCAGGCTGAACTGGGAGACTATGACCCAGAAGAACATGGCAGCATTGACCTCAGTGACTTCCAGTTTGCCCCCACACAGACTAAGGAGCTGGAAGAGAAGGTGGCTGACCTGCACAAAACCCACAGGTCTGTTGCCTTGCTTACTGGAGAGAGAATGGCCATGGTGGATTTCAATAGCTTCTTCTGTAGCATTTGCTAGATATTTGAGCATGGCTTATGGGATTATCCAGTTTGTCCTTTTGGAGTTTCACCTAGCACTGATCACGAAAACCTGCCTCTCCTGAGATATCCTTCATTGTTTTTATGACCATAGCCTGCATGAGGAACTTTGCTCATGAGATTAAATGCTCTCATTTATTGAAAAAATGTCCTTTTTTCTTTTCTCTGTGACATCTGCTTCTCCCTACCTCCATTTCTTAATGTGCCCATATACTATTGTGGCATTTGCTTTCTATTTCTGCTGCCTTTTATTTTTATTATTGTATTTGATGAGAAAGCTAGGGAGATAATAAGCCTCTGGGATTTGAATGATTAGTGTGGGTGGTGATGAGCATAGTGAGAGTAACTGAAACGTCCAGGTGGTTCTGCTGACTGCATAGGTGACATTTCTGTTTCGCTCAGGATGACTTAAATAACTTCAGTATCATATTATACTTGGAGAACTTCTCTACGTGTGTGAAAAGAAAATGGACTTTTTATATAAGCTTTTGTATTTCTAGCAACAAAATTATAATTTCTTCTATATCGCAAGATTTTAGTTTTATAAAATATTTACCAAAATGGCCTGAGAGGAACTTTCAGAGATTAGGTTTTAAATAGGCCATGTTCATTGACTTTTCTTTAAAAAAATAGTAAATGCAGCCGGGCTCAATGGCTCAGCCTGTAATCCCGCTCCTTTGGGAGGCTGAGGTGAGTGGATTGCCTGAGCCCGCGGGTTCGAGACCCGCCTGGGCAACTTGGTGAGACCCCATCTCCACAATAAATCAAAAATTAGCCGGGCGTGGTAGCGCGCACCTGTAGTTCCAGCTACTGGGAAGGCTGAGGCGGAAGGATCGCCGGAGGCCAGCAGGTCGAGGCTGTGGTGGCCGGGAGCGGCCACTGCACTCCAGTCTGGGCCACAGAGTGAGACTCCAACTCAAAAAACAAAAGTAGTAAGTGCAATCTTTGACTCTTAAGTATTTTCTTATTAACTTTAAATTCTACTCAACAGACATTTATTGTGTAATTCTAGTATGAAATGTCACGTACTGAAATGCCATAGGGAATAGGAAGATTAATGGGACATAGTCCTCCTCTCTAGGAGAGACTGACTAAATTTGTTTAGTTGGGGATATAGATAGAAATGGAAATAATTTTAGTATGGACAGAATGTGATATGTGTTCTCTGTCATAGGTGTACTGTCAAATACAAGTAATTCTGACCTTTATGTTTAATCTTAGGGAAATAAAATTAAGGTGTAAGAATTTGTCTACCTCCGAAAGATGCAGTCACTGTTTTTTATTCTCAGTTAACTTACGCTGTACCTATTATTGCTCAGGCTCTTTTTCCCCCAGTGGAAATAATCAAAGGCAACTTTTTAAAAGAAAGAGGGTAAAAGTAGAGGTATAATTTCTTGCAATTTGCAAATTTAGATGAGAGAATCTTAAGAGAAACATGCTAGCTGAGTCTTCTTACCTGTTTCCTACTTTTCAGCAAGCTTGGTTGAGTTACTACTTCCTCAACCCCCAATTTAGGGAGCTTCTCCCATTTTGACCACATTTGCTCTGCATCCCCTGATAAGATAACACTGTTTCTTTTGATTCTCAGGGGCTTATCTCCAGCACAAGCTGATTCTCAGTTCTTAGAAAATGCAAAGAGGCTTTCCATGTATGGTGTTGACCTCCATCATGCCAAGGTACTGTAAATGTCATGGAAAGTGGCATCATTCCAGTCTGTTGTCTGAAGCTTTGAGAGGGCTCCGGTTTCAGAACAGCCTAGTATTCTTCGGGAAAAGGCTATTTGCTTTCACTTGAGTGTCTCCGTAATATTTCTCTGATCAATTTTGGGGTTTGCAGTTATAGAAGAGACCGTTTCTTCTCCCCCTGCTATTTCCTTTCCTAGTCTCTTGAATCAATTCCCTTTTATAACTACTTATCATGACACACCTTGTCAGCCTTTTGTACTGCTTATTCTGGTTTATTCTGCATCCTAGCTTCTGCCAGGGCCAGTGTAACTCCATCCCAACTCCTCTCCCACTGCTATCTTGGGAGAAGAGGGCAGATCTTATCAATCATAACAAGGAAAAAGTGGCATGGATATGACCACTTCCAAAAAGCTTCTAGGTTGTGAAGGAGGCTGGGACTTGGGCTTGTCCCTGTAGGTCTGTTTCATACTTTGTGAAAATGACCCGGTTTCTAGGTGATGAAGCACCCGCAATTTAATTTGAGAGGTAGTAAGAGAAAGGAATATTGGGGACATGGGGACCTGATCATAATCCTGAAAGGCACAATTCTGAATGCCACAATCCTGAAATACCAAAATCCCGGAAAAAGTAATTTAAAAAGACATTTATTTACATTTTTAAGAGGAAATTTATTTGAGAAAAAACACAGCAGAACACTTCATAGGCCACTTTACACAATAAAGTAGGTAGGCAGTAATAACATACATATTTGTGCAAGCTGAGATACCCAGATACACTAGTGACAGTCACATGGGTATAACAGCTATGAGCAGACAAACTATGTTCATAACGAAATATGTCAAAAACCAAAATGTATAAATGCGTATCACTGTGATTGATTGCTGGTAACAAATACCACCTACTTTATGGTTCCAGTTTAAATGATTCCATAGTGGGGAGTCAAGGAGAAGGAGGCGCAAGGTGAGAGGTGGATTTGGTTGTATAACACATGTTCAGAGTCAACACACTGAGGGAACCCACGGTCACCTGCTTTTAAGAGACCCTGCCAGTCCCTAAATATAGTCCAGAAGCCCAGATTATATGATCTGACAAGGAAAGCCCCCCACTCAAAGATATCTTTCCTTCCGAGGCCTCAGGTTAGTAATTCTTGCTTTGGTGTTATTAATTGTACTTCATATTTGCAAAGCACTCTTTTCTCCTCAGTGGCTTCCTTTATTCTTTAAATATTTTTTATTATGACAAAACTAATACATGTTTATCATTGAAAATAGAAGTAAACAGAAGAAAATAAAAATCACTTAAATCTCTTCATGCAGACATAATCCCTGTTAATATTCTGATGCATTTTTCTTGTTTTCTTTTTTGTTTTAGATCTCTGAGAAGTTGAATTTTCAGGCCTTTTAAAAATGGGCTCACACTATGAGTATCATTTTTGCTAAAATGTGTTTTTTAAAAACTTACTACTTTTTCTTTTAGTTGAGGTCTCACTCTGTTGTCCAGGCTAGAGTGCAGTGAGGCATGATCATGGCTCGCTGCAGCCTCAACCTCCTGTATTCATGTGATCCTCCCACCTCAGCCTCCTGAGTTGCCTAAACTACAGGCAAGTGCCACCATGTCTGGCTAATTTTTTGTAGCGATGAGGTCTTACTATATTGCATAGGCTGGTCTCGAACTCCTGGGCTCAAGCAGTCAGCCTCAGCTTCCCAAAGTGCTGGGATTATGGACCTGAGCCGCCATGCCCAGACGTAACTTGCTATTATAAACATTTTTTCCATGTCAGTAAATAGTCTCTGGCAGCATCATTTAAAAAAAATTATTAATGTATTTTTAAATTTTATTTTTAAAATGTGGGGTACAATTCAGGGTCAGGTATACAAATAGTCATTATGCAGGTACCCTTGTTAATGAGGTGTGCCCTGCCCCCGCAGTTTCCTACTACTGCCAGTCCCTTATAGTTATAAGAATTGTTCAAGCTCTGCTTATGAGTGAGAAAATGTGGTACTCAGTTCTTTGATTTTGTGATAGATCACTCAGTATTATGGACTCTAAGTCCATCCAAGTGCAGCATCATTTTTAACTACTATATTCTGACTGCCTTTAATTTTTAAAAGTACTTTCACATACATCATTTCATTTAAAATTTGAATATTTTTATTTTGCAACTTACACAAAACAGTCTAGAGGATGACTTGCTTAAAGCCATATATTAAGCAGTTCTATCTGCTTGATAATCTTCTGATAAATCCCACTAGGCAGTAAGACAGATCATCTGAACACTGTAGTGTTTTTCAGCTCATTTTCTTTATGATGGTGACAGACTGACTTAACCAAGAAACAGGAATAAGGGAGAGAGGAGAGAACAAGTTTGACATCAAAAAGACCTCTGAAGCCTGTGTCTCCTCCTCTATTCTTTGCTGTTCTTGCCACATATAAATCTTGTCTTCTAATTGGTTGATCACTAGTTAGAAACCATTTCTTAGATGGCAGTGCTGCAAAGTTTTAGAATTCCTATTTTTAATGTCATACCTTAGAAAAGTAGAACGTTATGGACTCTGTCGTAAGTATAATGTCAGTTCTTGCTGTGCCGTTAGAAACAGAACACTAAAAGAATTCAAAGTAATCTTTATTTTTTTTATCATCTGATAGACTCTTTAGATAATAATTGATAAGTAAGATATTTATGGCTTACTGAAAAGATCTGTAGCAATTTAAAAGAATTTTGCATGTCATTTAAGTTTTGTGTCTCTATATGGTTTTCATTGTTTTTGAGGTCAGTTTTAATTTTTTTAATTGGAAGAGTTCTTAATGACACACTCATGTTAGGACTAGCAGAAGAGTTTTGAATAAAGGTCCCAGGAAACCACCAAAGTGATACACTTCCCACGTTCCCCTTGGTCTGGGATCAGTAGTCCTCCAAACTCCTAGAAGTCTGGAAAGGGAAGACCAGAGTGGCTGCCAGAACCCAGAAGGACAGATCTGTGTGGCTAGGACAGTCCTGAGAGGCACAGTAGTTAGAGGGACGCAGCCAGCCTGATGCAGCCCCAGAAGAGGGAAGTGTGGGTATGAAATATCCTGACCTCCTTTCCTTTCCCACTTGATCTTTTGTGAGAACTTCCCATGCACTGAACCCGTTTGGAAGCCAGCTGTCATGGTGTCTTGCTGATATCCATATGGGGCAGGGAGCGAACCAGAGGAGGTGCTCCTTTTCGTTTATTTTTCTGGCCTTGTTGCTGAGTGACATAAGTCAAATATGGAGGATTACGGTGTGCTTTCTCTCCTTTTATTCCCTACCCTTCATCTGTAATTTCTGTTCACACAGATACCGATAATTCGAAGGCAGAACCGATAAACTTGAATCCTAGTCGTGTTTATTTTTAGGTCAGATAAAATAGCTTCCTTGTCCTGTCCAAAGATTGCCTCAGACTAGAGATGGCTCGTTCAGTGTTTCAAATATGGGTTGCCTCCCTGCTTGTGGCGAGAACATGCTGTCTCAGGCAATCTTCCGTCTTGCTCCCCGTGGCCATGGGCAGTGATGGTTTTGGCAAACACACCCTGTGGGGCTGGTGCCAAGTTGCCTGGGCACCTGTGTCTGACTCACCCCAGCTTTTTATTCTATTCCTAGAGAGAGTTGTGGCTGCCAGGATAAGGGTGAGTGAAGCAATAGATTAGATTTTTAAAACTGCTCAGGTTGGTCCGGTGTGATTTTATTTGTACATGAATTATTCAGGTATCACAGCAGTTGGCAACAGTTACCTAGCACCATACTTCTCTTTATAAAAACCTAATTTAAATGGTGTTAAAATGTTTTTAGGAATAAGGCAGTCAACATGTGCTTCAGTTGAATTGGAACTTAGATTAAATATGGTGTTTGTTTCAGCCTTTTTGGTGAGAATTTGTTTTTTTGTTGTCAGTGTGAATATTTTTGAGTAGCATTCTTCAATTTTCATGTCTTAAGTGAGAACCAGTTGTCCCCTTAAAGATCAACATTGGTTTATATATTTTGAATACTGTGCATCTTAGATCTTCACGACTTAAAATGTGGAAAAGACAATTTTTCACTTTTATCTGTAAATTATTTGGTTTTTAAAAAGCATTTCAGACTTGTGATTATTTTAGATTGTTATCTATTTTAAATTAAAGCTCTGGGAGGAAATACTATTAGTAACTTGAAGAATAGTCTACAGTTCTTTGAAATATGCCAGCCAAAAGAATGCTTAATGAGAACTGGATGTCAGCGCTCTAAGTTAATGAAAAACTGCTTGAAAGAATTCAGAGATTTCAACACTGTCAGGTTGCCTCCCTGCAATTTTCTGTGAGGGATTTGTGTTTTGCAAAATATTAGCATAATTTTAACAGTTGTTATGTAGGGAAATCCGCCTGAGATAAATTTGTCTGAAGTAAAATGGTTGGACCCACTTTAGGGTAGCCCAAGGTACTTACTATCCCTGCGGGTTGGAATAGGCTTTGGGAAAGCACCTTTTCTCTCCTATATTTTCAGGATATCTAAATCTAGTTCTATTTTCTTTCTTCTTTGTTAGCTCCTACAGCAGAGCTTGAGAAAGGTACACATTATACCCTTCGAAGAATATTGTGTCTTGTAGTCATGTTGCCATATAACTCTTTGACAAATCAAATCTGATCCCTGAAGATGAATAGATGTTAGACGTGTGTGTGCCCTACTGTTTTCATCAGCTTGTATACTGCCACTAAAATTTAAATATAAACATGAAATTGGCATTCCTGGTCATGGTTTAAGGGAGTGACGAGATAGCTTCCTGATCTGTGTAACTTCCCAGTTCTCATCGTGATTAATTGGGTTATGCTTAGCAGGACTCCGAAGGTGTGGACATCAAGCTGGGCGTGTGTGCTAATGGACTCCTCATTTACAAAGACAGACTGAGAATCAATCGTTTCGCTTGGCCGAAAATCTTGAAGATTTCCTATAAGCGCAGTAACTTCTACATTAAAGTTAGACCTGCAGAGGTAAGCAGTGTGGGGTGATCTTTGGCTTATCTCATGTATTGTTAGCCTGCATTTTTATAGCCATGAGCCAAATGAATTCTTTTCCACTAAGATGTTAATAAAACGAACTCTTCTTTTTTCTTCCATGGTTCAAAGATTGGGGTTCATGATGAAAAACCTGTATATGCATATTTCTATTGCTATAAAGCAACCAGCCACCACACCTTTTATAGAAAAGAGAAAGTAATAAATGCATGGCACCTAGTGGGGGCTCATTTTTTTTCTTGGTGAATCCAAGAAAAAGAAGGTGATAAAAGGAGCTTATTTGACATTGAAGGAGAGTTGGTTTATGTGAGTGATTGGTACTTGCTTTTCATAGAAAATAGTATTGCAGTTTCTGAAAAATTCATTTTGTAGGATTATATTAGATATGCAATATTTACCTTTTTCAAGAAAAATTCCTTTTTCCAGAAACATCTGAAACTGTGTTTTTCTGTAGCTTCTTAGTCAGCTCTTTAGGAAATATGCTGATTGGTTTTATGGATTTATTCCAGCTGGAACAGTTTGAAAGCACCATTGGATTTAAACTGCCAAACCACCGGGCAGCAAAAAGGCTATGGAAAGTGTGCGTGGAGCATCATACTTTCTACAGGTAATTTTAAGAAAAACAGCTTGGAAACCGGGCATAGTGGCGCACCTGTAGTCCTGCTACTTGGGAGGCTGAGGCTGAAGGATCACTTGAGCCCAGGAGCTTGAGACCAGCCTTGGCAGCAGAGTGAGACCCTGTCTCTTTTTTTGAAAGAAAAAGAAAAAGATAAAAAGAAAACGAGAGAAAAGAAGACAGCTTTGCGTTGCTGTTGATAACCTCTGTGGATCAGGAAGTGCTCGTGGCGGGTAGTGTGGCAGACGTGTCAACCCCCTGCCTTCGTTCTCTCTTCCTTGCCTTATCTCTTTTGTCTGTGGTCCTCTCCCCTGTTCGTTTCTGTGGTCTAGGGCCATGCACGGCCATCACTCACAACTAAACTGCCTCTTCAGTTGTCCAGAACTCCAGGTTCTGACTCTAACTACCTCTCCTTCCACTGCGACCACACCGCCCCATGCCTGCTACCTTTCTTCCCTCCTCTGTCTCATCTCAGGTTTCATTGAGATGTTTTCATCGGCTCCTCCTGGCTTAGTCTTCCCAAGCCAGCTAGAAGCCTGCGGTTTGGCTACTTTGTCAGGAATGTTCCAACTCCCTCAAATCACTCTCCTCTCTGCACATCCAGTCTGCTGGTCCTGGCTTTGTCCTCTGTCCTGACCTCATCACTTCTGCACCTGTGCTATCAAAGTGCTACCTTAAGTAACATGACTATTGCAACACACGTAGTTATTCTGTATACCAGAAGATAGCACAGCTTTGTGGATTGACACTATTTTAGATACGTAATGTCCAGGCTCAGCCAGACCCTTAGTGCTGCCAGGCGCTTACTCACAGTGCTGTCAGTCCTCTCACTTTGTTGCTGTCCCAGATACGCATGGTCTTTGAGTCCCTGGTGCCCCTGCCTCTCCCCCATTGTGCGGTCCACTGAAAACAGAAGGTGGAGGGATTTGTTTTTTTTCCTTTTCGAGTGGTGTCTCCCTCTGCCACCCAGGCTGGAGTGTAGTGGCATGCTTACAGCCATCACAGCCTCAGACTGCTGGGCTCAGGCAATCCTTCATCCTCAGCCTTCCAAGGAGCTGGAACTACAGGTGTGCACCATCATGCCTAGCTAATTTTTTGATGTATTGTAGAGATGAGGTCTCACCGAGTTGCTCAGGCTGGTCTTGAATCCCTGAGTTCAGGCAATTCTCTGGCTTCGGCCTCCCAAAGTACTAGGATTATAGGCTTGAACCACCACGCCAGCCTCGGAGGGATCTTTGTTTCACATACTTTCTCTTCTACCCCTTTTTCCTGTAAATGGACATCACTCCTCCCTCCCCCATTAATTCTTTCCCTCCTCTCTTGTCTTAAGGAGTAGTAGCCAATCCTCCGCTTTGATCACTCATTTCATGCCTCACAAAGGATCTGCTTAATAAATTACTTTTCAGTGGGTGCCTTTGGCTTCTTTAGCCAATAAACATGTCCATGTATTGCTCCTTTAAAAGCAAAAAGAAAGAAAGAAAAAAATCCCTCGTGACCATCTAGTCATCTTTAGCTTGTGTGCTGTCTCCTTTCACGCTTTTCTTCAAGGACTTGTTTTTATACATCGTCTGTTATCTCTGTTATCTCCCTTTACCCAGTTTCCTATCACTGTAGTTTATGTTGCTGTGATTCTAGACCGTTCATCTTAAAGGCATTTGCTGCACTTAGAGTCTAGTAATGCTTTTCTGCCACGGACTAGCTGTGTGGACTAAGTTACTCAGCCTCTCTGGACTTCAGTTTCATCATACATAAGGCAGTTAACAATAGTACCTACCTTGTAGGACTGTTTTGGCAGTTACATGAGATCACACACAAGAAGCAACTTAGAACCATTTCTGGTATATCATAAGGTTTATCTTCTTCATCATTATTCTTAGTTTGGTACCGTAGTTTGCTTTTTAAAAATTTTTAAATTTTAAATATGTGGGAAACAGACTTAGGTATACAAATGGCTATTTTTTTTTTTTGCTTTTAATTTTTTAATTTTAAACATGTGAGGAACAATTCAGGTTTAGTTATACAAATGTTCATTGTTCATTATGCAGGTACCCTTGTTGATGAGGTCAAATGGCTATTTTTAAAGTGAATTATCTGCTGGCACAAATGACTCCTTGAAGTTAAATTGACCAAAATCTATTTTTTAAGACTACTTTTCTATTCATTTTAGAGGAGAAACGTGACTCATAAAATAAATTTGAATCTCTCTGTCTCAGTTGCACTGAACATAAAAATCTTTGAAAAGTTTATAATCTCTCTTGGTAGCCATAGCAGATACCTCCTCAAGACAACCTGAGCTGACCTCATATGAAGCTCAAGGTGATATTTATGACACAACTCTAAGCTGGACAGGCAGCAGCTTTCCCTGTCAAATAATGATAATAAAAGCAGTCATCCTTCTAGAAATGACAAGTGCTAACACTCATGGAACATTTGTTGTTGTCAGACACAGAATCGATTGCTTTATATTGCAGTGGTGTCTTTATTTCTCATCTCAGGTGAGGAAGCTGCTTTTTAGAGGTAGGGCCTGTGGGGGAGGGGAGCACAGCAGCCAGGCACTCTAGAGAGGTGGGGACCTGACTCAACTCCCTCAAACAGCCAGGTATCCGAGCAAGGTGGGCACCTGATTCCCTCACAGTAGCCAGGCACCAGAGAGGGTAGGGACCTGACTTCCTCAAGCAGCCAGCCACAGGAGCAGAGGTGGGGACTCGACTCCCTCATAGCCCAGGCACAGAGGTGGGGACTTGGGTCCTCCCATGCTCTAAAACCTGCACTCCTCACGTCTGCACTGGCTTGTTGTTCTTCTAGTTGCTTCTCTGAGATGTATTAACCCTGCAGAACTTCAGGCTTCTCCATCATTTTTACTAATGTACCATTGACTCCAATTTAATAGTAGACCAATTTGCTACTGCAAACTTCTAACATAATGGCCAGTAAAAGCATTTGAAAAATTTTAGACCTTATATAACATTTATGATGTTGCTTGCAAAGCTATGCAAACCAATATATCTAATACAGAAAGGGCAAATCATGCTTTGTCTACACAGTGCTTTGAATCAGATCAGTGGATCTTTGTCTACACAGTGCTTTGAATCAGATCAGTGGATTCTCTTCTATTTTAGTTTATTACAAAAAATGCAAATGGTTTCTTGAGAACGTTGCAATGGCTTGTAGATTGAAGCTATTAACAAATAAACAGATCTTTCTATTGACTGATAACCAACCAACTAGATTAATATTAGTGGAAGTAAGTTATAATATTGTAAATACACATGTATATATAATACATGTATAAATATATAATGTATTGTTACATATATCCATATAATGTATATATGTATGTGTGTAATATTTGTGCATATAATACTGTATATGTAATATATATTATAAGAATGTATAATAAAGCTGCTACCCTTACCTAGAGCATTTAAGAGAGCCTGTCGCCATTCTAATGGCTGTGCAGGGATTAATTCTTTCCAGCTCTGCAACAAATGTTATGGGGCAGGTGCCATTATCATCACTGTACATATGGAGAAACTGAGAAGCAGAAGGGCTAAGAAGCATTCCTGTGGTCCTAGAGAGGGTCATTGGTGGAGATGGAATTCAGGCCCCGAGGATGCGCCTTGCCAGTGCGCCCACTGTGCTCTGCTGCCCGCTTGCATTCACAACAGATGTGCTTCCTTGTATTTCTCTCAATGCCTTTGTTCTTCCTGGTGTGTGACCTAGAGATTAACATAAGGTTCGTCTAACCTGACGTCTGCCACTTACACTTGGCATTGTAGAGTCAGAGTGACTCCAGTTGTATTAGTGTGGTCGGTGGCTTCATAGAGAGACAGGTAGAATCCTTCATGCTAGTTAAATGCATGATTAACTTTAGTAATTGATATGTGGGCTTTTCTTTCTTTTTTTTTGAGTCAGAGTCTCACTCCATCACCCAGGCAGGAGTGCAGTGCCACGTTCATGGCCACCCCGGTGATAACGTGCTGGGCTCCGGCGATCCTTCCGCCTCAGCCTTCCAAGTAGCCGGAACTGTAGGCGCGTGCTACTGCACCCAGCTAATGTTTTGTTTTTGGTTTTTTTTGAGTTGAAGTCTCACTCTGTCGCCCAGACTGGAGTGCAGTAGCTGCTCCCGGCCACCACAGCCTCGACCTGCTGGGCTCCGGCGATCATTCTGCCTCAGCCTTCCGAGCAACCGGAATTACAGGCGCGCACTACCACGCCCGGCTGATTTTTGATTTATTGTAGAGATGAGGTCTCGCCAAGTTGCCCGGGCGGGTCTCGAACCCGCGGGCTCAGGCAATCCACTCACCTCGGCCTCCCAAAGCGCGGTATTACAGGCTGAGGCACCCAGCCTGGCCCAGCTAATTTTTTGATATATTGTAGAGACAAGGTCTCACTATGTTCCCCGGGCTGGTCTCGAACCTTCAGGCTCAGGCAATCCTCTCTCCTTGGCCTTCCAAAGTGCTGGGATTACAGGCTTGAGCCACCATGCCTGGCGGATTTTTCTTAAATATACCTTTATTTTCCACAGATGAACCTTAATGATATTTGATTTATAATGGTAGGATTTTAAAAAGTTAAAATGTTAATATACTTCTTAAGCAGTAAATATAAAAATGGAATTCCTTTTCCAATGCATCATTACTTAGTTCCTCCTGCTCTAAGCCTTTGATACCCTGTGAAGGTTAGTCCTTTCTTGTAGTTTTTATGTTCCCAATGATAGGTGTTTTGTTTGATATTATTATAAAGATAGGGTTTTGTAGCAAGTCTGAGTTCCTACTGTTTCAGCATTTTTTTTTTAAGACAGGATCTGTCACCCAGGCTTGAATATAGTGGCGTGACCATGACTTACTGTATCCTTGAACTCCTGGGCTCAAGAGAGCCTACTAATCTCAGCCTGCTGAGTAGCTAGGAATGAAAGTTTTCAAGAAACACTTCCGCTACCTTACACAAATAGGTTCAAACCAAGAAGGCCAGAATGTATTAGTTCTTTTACCAGTTAATTCGAAGACGTTTTTCTGGATGAATACTGTTGAGAGTCCCGAGTTGATGGAGGGTTGCCTCTCGTATTTGCCACATGTAGCTTCACCTTGACTTGATTTTCTTCCTTGATTCATTTCAGAAGGAGAGTTCTAAAAAAATTGCACAAAAGGTCTAGAAATATTTGAAGTGAAGGCACCCTTTAATAAGTCTCTCTTCTTTGGCAAATGATGGGAAATTTTCAATGGAGGGTGGGCACAGTGTCTCATTCCTGCAATCCCAGCACTTTGGGAGGCTGAGGAGAGACGATTGCTTAAGCCCAGGACTTCGAGACCAGCCTAGGCAACATGGTGAGACCCTCTCTCTACAAAAAATTTACTGGGTGTGGTGGCATGCACCTGTAGTCCCAACTGCCTGGAAGGCTGAGGTGGAAGGATCACCTGAGCCCCGAAGGTTGAGGCTGCAGTGAGCCATGACTGCGCCACTGCTCTTCAGACTGGGTGACAGAGTGAGAACCTGACTCAAAAAAAGAAAAAAAGAAACTTTTCAATGGAGTGCTCTATATTCTTGAATTTTCAACGAAAGTCTTCTTACTTAATACATTTTATAAGAGCCCTGAGAGTATCTTTCAGTTTAACTCTTGATCAGACAATGAAAGCAAGATAATTTCAGTTATATTCCAGGAAATATTGGTTCAGTTACTAAAAGCATGCTTTTGCATATCTAGGAGTATTTCACATCAAAAAAGTTTGCTTTTATTCATTATGAACCCTGGGCTTAAGTAGAACTGGCAAGAAGGGATGTTACTCATCTCTGTAGATCCACTGTGTGTTATATTCTTCGTGGGAAAGTCTCATTTGAGGGAACAGATTCCTGTTTTTTCCAAGGAGAAATAGGCGTAAATATTAAGAATTGCTGATGGTAATGGATTGCGACTTGGCACTTACAGCTAGGATCAAGAATTCAGGCATATGTGTTTATGTAAATGACTTAAGCTAATACAAATAAATAACCTTTGATAAACTGGGAACAGCTGCTCTTTTGCTTAGGTTGAGAAAAGCATTCATGAATTCATGAATGTGGATTTACTCATCACCATCATAAAACTGTTTGTAGGAGAGTTTATAAGTAATATTCTTTTCTTATTAGACAGGTAGTATTGGTTTTGTGTAATCCTACTTAAAATGAGATAGTAAAATACATAGTTTTAAAGTTGAGGCAAGATGTGGTGGCTCACACCTGTAATCCCAATATTTTGTGAGGCTGAGGTGGGTGGGTCACTTGAGCCTAAGAGTTTAAGACCAGCCTGGGCACCGAAGCAAAATCCCATCTCTGCAAAATATAGAAAAGTTAGCTAGGCGCGGTGGCTCATGCCTGTAGTTACAGCTACTCAAAATGCTGAGGCGGGAGGATCACTTGAGCCCAGGAGTTTGAGGCTGCAGTGAGCCATGACTGTGCTACTGTACTCCAGCCCGGGCAGCAGAGCAAAACCCTGCCTCACAATAAATAAGTAGTAAGTAAATAAGTCAATGGTTTAAAAGAAAAAAATCCATGAAGTCTAATTTTGCTTCTTTTTTTCTCTTTAGGCTTGTGTCTCCAGAGCAGCCACCAAAGGCCAAGTTCCTGACTTTGGGGTCCAAATTCCGCTACAGTGGCCGCACCCAAGCACAGACCCGCCAGGCAAGCACCCTCATAGATAGGCCAGCACCACACTTTGAGCGCACCTCTAGTAAGCGGGTCTCCAGGAGTCTAGATGGAGGTAAACGCATTTGTGATATTTTTGGGATTTCATTCATCTCTCTCTCATCCAGGAATGTCAGAAAATTTTGATGTAGTAAATACAGCTGCCAGAAATACCCTGGAAGAATGGCCAGTAAAATGCTATTACTTCTCCTCACAGGATAAGACTTTTGGATTGTTTTGAAGTTGTCATTCTGAGCATACTTTTTTGTTTGGTAAATGTTGGACACCCCAAGTATGAAAATCTGAAATTGAAAACGCCCCAAAATCTAACTTTTAGAGTGCCATCATGGGCTCAAGGGAAGTGCTCATCAGAACATTTCAGATTTAGATTTTTGGATTTGGGATGCTTAGGTAAGTATATGTAATACAGATATTTTGAAGTATGAAAAAAATCAGAAATCTGAAGCACTTCTGGTCTGAAACCTTTTGGACAAGAGATACTCAACTTGTGTTGTAAGTGTACACAGCTAAGAACACTTGTGAAGAATTCTTGCTCAGGAGATGTTGAACAAGCACGATTTTACTGGTTTGACTTGATCGTGATATGTCTTATGTTGTTTAATTTCTTGAGCCTATTAATGGCAAAATGTAATTCTCTAAGGGTTTTTGGTATGGTAGCATGTGAACCTTAATTCAAACGAACATAAAGCATTCCCTAAGCTCACTAAATTTTTGTGAGTTAAAAAGTGAAGCTTACTGAACTTGCCATCATATGAGAAACTCTTTTATAGCTTCAAAGGATTCGTTCTGTGTTTGTTTATTTGTTTCTTTTTTGAGTCGAGGTTTTACTCTGCTGCCCAGGCTGGAGTGCAGTGGCGCCATCATTGTCACTGCAGCCTCGAACTCCTAGTCTCAAAGAATCCTCCCACCTCATCCTCTTAAAGTGCTAGGATAACAGGCATGAGCCACCAAGCCCAACCCAAAGGATTATTTTTAAATACAATGTTTTAACAAACAAGAAAGGAAATATAATGTGTTCCTTTGGTCTTTAACCCAAGCAGAGATATGTACAAATATGATTTTTTTCTGTTGGACTTCCAATTAACTACATGTTTGTAGTTTTATTTAAACATCGCATGGAAATAAGTTGATATTGCTTTTCTTCATATTTATATCTTTTTTTTGAATTGGAGTCTCACTCTGTTGCCCAGACTGGAGTGCAGTGGCTGCTCCCAGCCACCGCAACCTCAACCTGCTGGGCTCTGGCAATCCTTCCGCCTCAGCCTTCCAAGTAGCCGGAATTACAGGCATGCACCACCACGCCCGGCTGATTTTTTGATTTATTGTAGAGATGAGGTCTCGCTGCCCAGGCGGGTCTCAAACCCGCGGGCTCAGGCAATCCATTCACCTCAGCCTCCCAAAGGCGCGGGATTACAGGCTGAGCCACCGAGCCCAGCTCATATATATATCTTATCTGGTCTAATTTGGGTTAATAATTGGTTTCCTGTAAAAGAGCTAAGGTTAAATTTATATTAGAATGCTCTATGAAAGTCTTTCCTTTCTATGTAATATAAAGTAATTAGTATGGGTAATTTCCTATTCAAAGAAATAGTTTTCCAACATTTTTGTTTGATCAATCTCAAATATATAGTGTATATAAAGTAGTAAAAATACATTTGGAAATTTTATTTTACCATTGTTTATATCAGCAAAAATATTTTTGATTGTTTATTGTTTCTTGATTTTTTTTCCTGAAATATGAACTTGAACAACTTGCATTTTAAATAATCAAGTAAGACAGACCAGATAATGCTAACCGATAAAAAAAGCTCCCCCATTAGTGAGGGATTGACACCCATCGCCTTGAGGTACTTTTGCTAGAAAAAACTTGGAAAACAGATGCAAGTACATACTTGAACAAATTCAGGATTTGTTGGTGAGCGTTTTTGTATATAGTTACTAAATCTTGATTCTGGAGTACCTTCCATATGGTTTTATGAGACCACCCTGAAAAATACACACAGGAATGTGAATTGTGCTTTGAACAAACGTCCACACTTCCAAGTGGTAGTTATTTAAATTCAGTGCATTAGTCATGTACTATGACTGTCAGAATATCTCTTAGCTCATCAACAACTGAGCACTTTTCCAAGTAAATCTGAAAAATGTGCCAACACATGTAAATATTTCACAAGACTTGCCCCCTGCCACAGAGAATTTATACAAGTGCTGAATAAATGCAGTCACTGTTGAATGCCCTGAGAGAAATCACTGCTTTTTCTGGAACACCGTCTGTTTTCAGCATTTGTTTGAAACTGTGAGACTCTATAACTTTTATATTGCAAAATTTAGCGTTTAAGAAGAGCAATAAACCAGAGCGTTTTCTTTGAGGTATATAAACCCTGTTCAAGGAAACCTACCATCTTGTGTGGGCAGTTAGGCAGAGGGTTAGAGGAGGCCTGTATCTGAAAACAATGATTTTTACAAGTAAAAGCTACAAACACAGCACAGTAATCCATTATTTTTCCCTTTGTGTTTTGGACACTGTAATTCATCAGATGAGCAAGTCATCAAAAGGATTATTGTGTTATTGTGAAAAATAGGAGGCTTTTCATGCCAATACATGATCAGACAGTCAGTGAACTATTTGGTTAGGGCTTATGTTCTTTTTTTTTCCCCCCTCAAAGCAAAGCCAGGCCGTAACCTGGTACTAAACTTCATTTTCTTGACTACTCTCTGTCAGTATGCTTTTGTTGTTGTTGTTATTGACATGTGTTGTATTTCTTTTTCCTGTTTTTTAAGTCATTAGGCTAGGATAATTTAGGTACAAAAATAATCCTCACTTTAAATTTTGGCAAATGAAAATAAATCTTGTGATTACATAGAAAGTCAAAGTCAGTGTTCTATTTGACGATCCAATATCAAAATAAAAACGAATCTAGAACAGCTATTTTAGACCAGGAAGGCTCAAGGCTCCTCTGAGATTAGAAAATTGAACCCCAAATGAGACAAATCTGTCATTTAAGAGAACAAACCATCAAGATACTTTTGGGATTGGGGAAACCAATGATATTCTGACAGCAGAGAGTAGAATGAGTGGGGACCCTACTTATGCAGGGATCATGAGGAAAGGAAGGCCCGTGTGAGGAAGAGCCAGGTCAGCTGAGATTTGCAGGGTGAAAAGGAGGAGCCACAGAAGGCAGGAGATAACAAAGCATTCCAGGTAGCAGAGGCTACAGGATGGAACGAGTAAGGCAAGGGAGGGCAGGATGCATTCCAGGAACAGAAGGCAGGCAAGTGTGATCAGAATTTAGGAAGCCTCAGAAAAGGTGGACCAGGGTCAGATCACACAGGATCTTGTGGGCTGTGATGGAGAATGTGGTTTTTATGTCTTTTGTGTGCTAGAGGAAATTATTGAAGGGTTTGTGTGGGTTTATGTGCACACAAGAGCATGGTATTATTTTTTTAAGAAAATCATTTCGTGCAAGAGAACAATTAGATTGAGAAAGGAAGCAGGAGACTGGTCAGGAATAGGCCAGGTGACAGTGACAGTGGCCTTACTTTGGATGGTAGTGGGCTGGTTAGCCATTTGGTACCATAGGCTCAGCTTTTCAGGGTTCTACAAAATTGTTTAAGACCAGAACAATTTTATTGGCTCCAAAATAAAAAAGAAAACTGCAAGTGGAAATTAATAAGTATTTAAAAGTATGCATAAAAAATGTGGTCATATATAGGATGGATTGCACAGCCATAAAAAAGGACAAAATTATGAACTTCGCAGCAACTGGGATGGACTTAGAATCAATAATACTCAGTGATCTATCACAGAAACATTTTCTCATTCATAAGTGGACTTTGAACAATTATCATAATACTGTAAGAAAGGGATTGACAGTAGTGGGAAACTGCCCGGGGGGGTGGGGGTTGCATCTCATCAACAAGGGTACCTGCATAATGACCTTTTGTATATCTAACCCCACCTCTTTAAAATTTAAAAAAAAGTATGCAAGTCAGCATTTTGTCAACTTTATTTTATAACTTTTGATATTCGTTCAGATTTTAATATCATTACATTTGAAACCATTTCTTGGTCGGATTTTCTCATTTTGTAATAATTTCCGAGTATGTGTGATAGGTGCTTGGAAATCATAATTATAAGTTAAAGAGTTAATCATAGCATATACTTTCCAAGGGAAAATGATTAATATCTTATTAAAAGTAAAGAAAAAGACCTCAAAAATAATTTTATTTAATATAAGATGTGAATTCATTTTAATGTTGAATGTGATTTGGTGTGGGCTTTCAAAAGTATGAGTACTTAAGGACTGGGAAAATCTTTTTTTTTTTAAATTTTTTGAGTTGTAGTCTCACTCTGTCACCCAGACTGGAGTGTAGCGGCTACTCCCGGCCACTGCAGCCTTGACCTGCTGTGCTCCGGCGATCCTTCTGCCTTAGCCTTCCAAGTAGCTGGAAATACAGGCACGCGCTACCATGCCCGGCTAATTTTTGATTTATTGTAGAGATGAGGTCTCACCAAGTTGCTCAGGTGGGTCTCGAACCTGAGGGCTCAGGCAGTCCACTCACCTCGGCCTCCCAAAGCGCTGGATTACAGGCTGAGCCACTGAGCCCGGCTGGAAAATCTTAAAAATAGAATTAGGAATGGAAAGAACTGGCCACATTTAAAACTATATCCAAGGACCTCGTTGGACTTGCTGGTGATGGGGGTAAAGGAAGAGGCCTAGAAGATGTCCGGGGGCCTGGATGAGAGTAGCATTTGGTGAAAAAGGCAAGACTGGGAAGAATTGAGTTTTGTACAGGGCAGGTAAGGGCAGTGGGTTCAAGTGCTTGATGTCTCCCAAGTTCATTTTGGTAGATCACACACAGCCCCTGCACTCAAGAGCTTGCGACCTAAAGGCTTTGTGTTGCCTGCACTTTTGTTAGTAAGGGCATGGAACCAGAGCAAACCTCAGGAAAGTGCTTTTTATAGGTGAAATCACCTGATGGTGGTCTGTGTCTAGGGGAGAGCTACATATGGAGAGAGGTTTTGCCACCTGTGGCTCACTTTGCCTTGTGGAGATTGGAGGCGGTCTTGGGTTGATCTGCAATGTAAAGAAAACTTCAACCCAGTACATATTTCTGCCTATCTGTAGGAGAGAGGAAGAGAGTACGTGAAGACCAGGTTTTCTAGGGGCAGGGGGGTGTCTAAGTATTAGATTTACTGTAGGCCATATTGAAGCATTAAGGAGGAAGGTTTAAAAAATGGAACAATAGTAATCAAACATAACCATTAAATCCATACTTGTATATTTGTCTTTTGAATGGTATTCAAATGAACACTTCCTTCATGGAGGAATTCTTAAAATATTTTGAAGCAAATCATTTAAATATTATATAATTATTTGTTGCAATAGATAGATTCAGGAATAAATCCAGGCAAAATCAAAGAGATTTGAGAATTAAAATACTGCTCACACTGTAATTCTGACCTTTTACCCTGACTCTGGTGTTTCATCTGGTCTTAGAGCTCCCCCTACTGGCCAATTCCATGATCAGAATATATCCTTCCAAAAGCTGTGATTTTAGAATGTGTGTCGTTCAGTGGGTTAAAATTCAGATATTTTCAGATTTTGGTAAAAGTTTAAAAAATGAGTTTATCTTTTTTTTATATGGTGGCATTTTCAGAGCTCAAGCAATGTCCCTGTTTCTGTTCATTGTTCACATGCTGTCTGCTTATCTCTTTAAGGGGGGGAAGTTCCATGAAGTTTACCATTCGCGTGTCCTAAAGTCATCCAAAATTATCATTCTTTACTAGCTCCGATGGGTGCCATGGACCAAAGTCTTACAAAGGATTTTCCTGGCTCTGCTGGGGAGGTTTCGGTATACAGCCCTGGAGTTGTCAGTGTGTCCGTGATCCAGGATGGGGACGGCAGGAGGGAAGTGAGAAGTCCAGCTGAAGCTCCACGTTTGCAGCTCATCGAAGGAAAGGTATGGCAGGTTAGGCCAGCATGTGGTTTTCCACGTTTACTGAAACTGGAGGCTCTCGGTTGCATTTTCTGTTCTAGGAATCGAGGATTTAAAAGTAGTTGTATGTTCTCCGTTTGATAACATGTCCCAGTTTTCAAATATGTGTAGGCTCTTGCTGGTCGGACCTTTGTTTGTTGGTCAGAGCAAAATATTTCAACGTAAATTGTATAAATGCAAGTAAGTAATTTACTGGCTTTTTTGACTCTCTTCATAATCATCTTATCCAATTAGATTTCTCATGATAAAAACTATGATTTGAAATGTATGTGGTTTGTTACAAGTAAGTTTTCAACTGTAGCTTGTGTCTTAGTTATTTTAATTATTGACTTATTTTAATTTTGTGACATGAGCAAAGGTGATCTTTTTGAAAAATGTTATCTTTTATTGATAACCTATAGCTTGTGAAGAAATTTTTAAGAAAGGGTGATTATTTTGTGAATAGTAAGTAAGAAGATGGTGTGTTGCTTTTGGTTTTATTTTGTACATATACCGTAGTAAATGGAGAAATAACTGTGTTCTCAGATTTGTCACTGTTGTCTTATGTTACCTTGGGTAGTAAAGCCACTTGAATATTGATCTGAGGAGCCTTTGAGTTCTTCAGCTCTCTTTTCCATATCTGCACAAAGCATCTTTTTTGCATGTAACGTTGGAAGTAAGCACGAGAAAAACAATGAAACCACCCTATTGACTCTTAATGTTTACTAAGTTTTGACTTTGACAATATTAAAGACATGCAACATGAATTTATAAAGAAACTGCTAGATGAAGTCGCTGCCAGTGCCCGGGGAGTCCTCTGCCATGGAGGAGGACTCAGGGACCACGTGGGCCCAGGCTTGTGCCACACGGCCAGGCGCTTCCTAGAGCAGGTGACATCCAGTCACTGGCATTCTGTGTTAACGAGTTTGTGACTGTCATGTTGAAAAGTTACGAGGGAGGACCCAAACCACCCCGAGTTTATTCATAAGAAATTGTGTATTTATTCATACATGTTTACACTTTAGTCACCTTCCAGCTACTCTCGGTTTGATTCAGTACACCTGTTGAGATGCTTTTTCACACTGCTCAGAACAGCTTTTGAACTCATCAATTTTGATGCCTTTTAGAGCTTCTGCCGATTTTTTGCTTCATTTCTTCCACATCAGCAAAACGTTTTTCTTTGAGGACTTTTTTCGTTTGGGGAAACAAACAAAAAGTTGCTCAGGGGACGATGGAGTGAATAGGGAGGGCAGGGCATGGGGGCCATGCCGTCTTTGGTCCAAAACTGCTGAACACTCAGTGCGGTGTGAGCAGATGTGTTGTCATAGTGGAAGAACCAGTCACCTGTTTGTCACAACTTGAGACGTTTCTTCCACAGATTTTGAGGCAACCTTCTCAAAACTTGCGAATAAAAATTTGGGTTGACTGTTTGATCTGGAATAACAAATTCCAAGTGTGTATTACAAAGGGGACCCACTCTCGAAAGACAATTCTGAGTTTCTTGGGTCCCCATATCATATCAAATTTAGTTAAAAATGACAGAAATTGTATCTAATAAGATATCCTTCAACTGCTAAGACGTTATCAGAATTTCTTTTTTCTAATTATGCTAACAAGTTACCCAGGAGAAGGGACTACTTGCATCTGAAACAGAGAAGATCAGCACTTTAGAATGTCTCTGTTCCATTTTGCCTGGTGAATTTGACACATCTTTTTTTTTTTTAATTCTTTTAAAAAGTTTCAAAGTAAGTCCTGCTTGTCTTCAGCAAATACTGGCATTTTTGCTGATGCCTTAGATGTCTGCCAGCAATCAGGTTTAAAAGTAAATAATGCTGTGTGAGTTTCCTAGGATCTATTTGCAACCACTTTGAAAAAAATCAGTTGATGCCTATTCGTTTTCTTGTGATAAAAAGTGATCTAGTGTTTTCTCTTTTCACATGGATTATTTAGTTCATCCTCTGACTACACTGTGTTAATACAACCCTTCTTTCGAGTAAACGTTTTCACTAACTGCCTGTTTCTCTTTTGTCCTCTTTCTCTCTCACATGTTTTCCCCCGCCTGCATGCGCTGTGTCACTTTCACATCCCGTCATGGGTTTGCTCTTGAGAACAGCCCGTTTCCGTGTACCCACCTTCCCCGCTCATCGGCCGTGCTGCATCTTTTTCCCCAAACCTGTTGCCAGTCCCTGAAGTGGACTTGCTGTCAGACATCTCGGAGGAAGACCCCTTTGGGGAGGCCGACCAGGTCACCCTAGACAGCTTGGAGGGCCTTTCAGAGCAGGGCGACCCGGATGTCACGACCCCTGATTCGGTCTTGGATCCTGCAGCTGCCCCTCCCCAGCCTGACTGTCCCTCTCCCGGGCCTGAGAAGACCCGTCACATGGCTGACCACCACGATTCTGAGCTTGGCTACTTCCCCTTCAGTTTCTACAAATGTTTTCCCTCCAGCCTCCCCTCCCTCCTTGATGAAGATGGGTATCTGGCTTTCCCCAGCCTCCCCAAGGTCTGGGTCTCCTTCCTCCCCACTGGGGTTCAGCACTATGTCCCTATCACATCCCCGTCATTCATTCCTTCCCTGGTCCTCATCTTCGGGCTACTTCTCTCTGCTTCTCAGTCAGTTCCTTTTTCTCTCGCCCTTTCCCTTCCTCTGGCTCTATCCCTGTGCTATCTGGAGGCTAAAGCCACCTCCTTTGATGCTTCTTATGATTGTGACTTGAATGAAAAGTTAGATGAGGAGGAAGCAGTTGCTGCGACTCCTACATAAGCATCAATCTGTGGAGTTGACACTGCTACACTTTACCTTAAGCCCTTCCTAATATAGAGTGTCAACATGTATGTGCATTTCACCACCGAGTACCCTCAAGATAGTATTACCTACACTTTCACACACACAACATTTTAGTGCATGAGAAATAAGTGAAGACACTGCTCCTTTATTGATATCCGTTGACCAGGTCCATAGACTCTAAGTCGAGAGCAAAATTTTAGGGTTGCTTTATAAATATCTCGATCGTACTAGATTTTTAACAAAAGGAGTAAGGGAAGGGGAAACCTGTGTCGCCCGACTTAACAGTCCAAACTGAGTCTCTCCATTTTGTAGACAAATATTAAGGCTTTTCCTTTCCGGTGGACACGTTTTGTTTTGTTATAGAACTTAGGATGCAGTGGCCATAACTGTAATTGATGTATGTCAGTAGAACTCCTTAGTATTATTATTTCTCTTGTTAGAAATCCAAGTGTGTTCTTGCATCTATGAGGATGTATCTGTAACCTTTACTTCTGACATTTGTAAATCTAACCTCAGAAGCCCCATATCTCTCTGTTATTGTAGCATTTGGGGACCAGATGAATTTTAGCTATTTTTTTTTCCAACCCGAAATTATATAACTATATAAAAGAGTCACTTCAGGTATTGCGTAAGGAAGACATTATCTTTAACAGGTGTGTGTCAAAATGAAACACGCCTTTTTGAAAATTTACACTTCATAACTAAGATTCAGCCTCTTAGTACTCTTTTATTTAAAATTAGGTATCTCGTTTGAGGGTTTTTACCCCTGGATAAGACAATTTTTTTTTCAAGTATACTACCTCTGCACTACTGCCGAGTCGGTATTAACATGTGCAGTATATTTTGATTGTTCTGCTAACTGTTACCCAGTGATTGAGTGTTTCATTCTGTGGATACTATCAGTATACAGAGTCAATCACAAAATTTAGAGCAAACTTAAAGAGAAATGTGAAGATAATGCAATGACTATGCATCGTAACCACAGCTGGTAAAAAGTTTACCTGAGGAATATCAAAGATCAGCTTTTCAGAGAAATGCAGGCAAGAACAAGGAGTTGGAAGGCGATTCTCATCGGATAGCTGGGCCTCGTTTTTCCCTTCTGGTAAAAAAAAAATAACTCTGATCTCCCTGCTTGCCTCTTGAAAACCCTAGAAGTTTTCTTTAAGTAATCAGTTTGAATTCTCAGATTTTGACACTATCATCCAAATAAAGAAAGAAGAGAATATGAGTTTACATGTAAAAGTTAAATAATTTTCCTCTGATAGCAAAGTCAATTTTCTTTTGTTCTTGCCATTCTTTTCCTTGAGTCAAAATTCAGTCAGCATTTATGTGAGTTTTAAACTTCCAAACTCATTCTTTGGATCATTAGCTATTGCGAAACTTTCAACTATGAAAAATTGTTCTTATTTAAAGAATCTTTTGAAGGAAAATGACTGTATTTCAAACATAATTTTTAAATACCATTCTGACATCAAAGGAGCTAACGAAACCAACTTCCCCCCCAAGGAAAGAAATCCATGTTCAAAACAAAACAAAACAAAACTGAATAATAGAGTGAACATTTGTTCCCCGCTGAAAAGCCGCAGACAAAGTTTATGTCATTGTACCTAACCTCATGACTAGCTGATTTACACATTTCAAATAAGAACAGATTGGATTATGCCATTTTTGCACTCTCCTATTTTCACCCCTGAGTAGAAGTATTCAAAGGCAAAGCATAATCTAGGGGCTGAGAAAGAGCGAAGCTTCCATCCTCCATTCCGCCTTTGCGAAGGATCATTTCCATCATTTGTACAACACTGTAGGTGAAGGAAGACCCAAGTGGCTAAGCACTCTGCATCTTCTGAGGGCCACACAACAAAGGTTGGTAACGCTGGTTCGCCACCGAAGTTCAGATACCACTTCTTTGCCCGGATGGTAGAGTTTCCACTAACGCCCTTCTTTCTGGCATTTGCTGTGTGACTTTTCAGGCGAAGATGGACCAAGAGGAAGCACAGCTGGAGAAGGTGGCTGTTTTTTCTCTAAAGTTGAATATCTCCTGGCTGCTGCCTGCTGGTGTTGTGGTGGTGGGGAGGGTGCACTTTGGGGGTTGATCTGTGAGTTGTGTTTTTGTCATGGCATTAAGTTCTCAAGGTTTTTATCCTGCTCTTATTTTAATGTCTTACACTGTCGAGTTGTGGGTCTTTTTGGTGCTTTCTGATCCATGCACTTTCATTTACTTGCCTTTCCCCCCGTGTTGATTTAATTTCACAGAAGAATTCCTTGAGAGTAGAAGGGGATAATATTTATGTCAGACATAGCAATTTAATGTTGGAGGTTTGTATCATCTAAGAACACAGCTCTGTCCTCATGGCTGCCGGCTGCTGTGGACGGGAGGTCACGCCCAGGCTGCTGGCAGTGTTTGCTCAGGCACAGTGCATGACGTGCATGAGGGGTTCACTTGGGGTGCATGCTCCCGGCCCCACCGTGTTCTTTCCAGGTGGAGGAGGTAGGAGGTTCTCAAAGTGACAAGTGGGAAAAGAAAGTTCTGTTCAGTCAAATGAATAAAGTTTTAACCTAGCGATCTTGAACACTATAGGTCAACCTGTTTTCTCCTAATGGGTTAATACCAGGGCATCAAATCTGTAGTAACACAGTCTCATCCTTAATATATATTAACAGAATAGGTATTTGTTTGTTGATCTGGCATTAAGTCATTTGACTTGATCTATGTCTATTTTTTTGTGCCTAAAATCCACGTGATCAGGAATGTGGTTCACTTGATGTATTTTTTTGAAAGGAATTATTTTGATGAGAAAGAAAGAACAAGCAAAAGAGAGAGAAAGAAAGGAGGGAAAAAAAGTCTAACCACTCAAGTAGGAATGTAAAACATGTTCCCCATGTCACGTGAGAATGTTTTTTCCTTCTTATTTTAGGGTAGTATATGCCAATATGTTCAATGGAGAATTGCAGCTCTCAGTAATCTAACTAATCTGTTTGGTTGCTTTCGGCAGCTTTGATAACTGATGGAAATGTATTTTTGCTTAACTTACTAAAATGCTATAAAGTGTAATAAGTAACATTGCTTTGAACAAATGCAAGAAATGTGCCTGATCTCAAGCCACGGTCATTTTTCCGTGCCATGCAAAGATCTTTAGATTTTTATGAGTTTTTGCAAATGGCTATAGAAGCTCATAGATGAGCTACTATGCTTGTGCATGAATGTGGAATATCTAATTTTATCGGATGCATGACCGGTTCCTTTGAGAGTGGGGTGAAAGCTATAATCCACAGGTGGCCCCATGATTTTTGAAATATAAGTAAAACATTTAAAATTCAGTTAAAACCATTTCCTGAACACTAATTACCTTTTATTTCCACATATACTATTTATTAGAGCCAATCTAAAAAAGTCCCACAAATACTATTTATCAGGACTTACTCCAATGAAAATGAACCCATAGTGTTTCTTGCACCTTCGTCTGTATAAGGACCATCTGGTATACGGAGTAACCAGGCCCTAGTTTTGTGCTTGGCAAGTACATGAGACAAGTATTTGGTTCATTTATTTTATAAAGAGGCCAAACAGAAGCAGCCTCTGGAAGCAGTAATTTTTATTCCTAAGGATTAAAAGCTACCACTGGAATTTCCTGGAAAAAAAAAGTCATCCCTTGATTTTTTTTTTTTTTTTTTGGATGATCCTGGTCTGATTTTTCCTTCAGGCCAAGTGTACTCCTGAGTTCCCCTTTTCCTGGTTTTCCTTGACTTACTGTGTCTGCAAAATGCAGTTTGAGTAGTATCCCTAATCAGAAAGGTACATTTTCTGGGCTGAGTTTTAAATCCAAGTACTGGAAGGATTGTTAGCCATTTTGATGATCAGTTCCCTGGCTTTCTTCTCATGATATAAATAATTATTCCATTAAAAATTCTAAAGACAGAAGAAATTAGAACTCTTTAAAAGATGAATCATACAAAAATTACACATTATATTATAGGTAATAATATGGCTTTTGAGACTTGGCATTTTTCTTGCTTTACTATGTTTTTTTTTTAATCATAAGTTTACTTTGTCTTATTTTTTTGGTTTTATTTTTTATTTTTGTCCTACTGGGTTTTTTCCTTTTGGATTTTCCCTTTGTTACGTTACATATTGCTAGGACCTGGATAAGGCCCAGGAGGACATACTGAAACATCAGGCTAGCATTAGTGAACTCAAGCGCAATTTTATGGAATCCACACCTGAGCCGCGCCCTAATGAATGGGAAAAACGACGTATCACACCTCTGTCCCTACAGACACAAGGGGTATGTCACCAGCTATTTGTTGGCTATATGTCTCACTCCAGTTGTTCAGTAAAACTCAAGTTGTTAATCTCCTATGTTGATTCTCAGGAAGTTACAAAGTGTTCCCGTTCAATTTTTTAATGTAATTACTAACTTTTTAAAAGTACTTAATAATTATTAACAATGTAATACTTACTGGCCTAGTTCTTAGGTAAATTATATGAGTTTCAAAATACTTTTGAAGTTGTTTTAGAATAATTTCACTATTTTGCTCAGGTAAATTGGTCGTAATGAGTTGTTATATAGAGCAATTCAGAAACTAACATTATATTGTATTTAATAAGCTTCTTAGTTACTGACTTTGGAAATAAAGTTTGCTTAGTGATGAAATAATTAAGAATTAAAGGAATGCTGACCATATTTAAAGTGGCTTAAGGTAATTACTGTGAGGATAATGAGTTCAACAGCCTTAAAGACTGATGGGCCCTATTGAAAGCTTGCAAAATGTATATATAATACAACTTAATATCAAAACTTCCAAGTAATGAAATGTAGAACAGTGTTTTAAGGCATTTTCAACTGTAACATTTTCCACACTCATTCTATTTCCATGGTTTACTTATCTCTGCTGATGATACAAGTACATGTTGCTGTTAGAATATATTCTCAAAATATTTCTCTTGTTTTTCTCATCTACATCTGTTTCTCTGTGATGCAATCAAACCTCTCCTGTTATTGACCAAGAGCATCCACAGACTCCTGTGTCATACTTGAGGAGACAGTGATCGTACAATATTTAATCTGCAGTTCAAAACATTGTAGGAAGATGTTACCCTACAATTTTATCTTTCCCGTTTCAGCGTCTTGTCTGACTTGAATGTTGCCAAATTGTAGACATTGATTTAGATATTCTAGTGCTATTTTAATTCACCTTTCCTTAAAAGGAAAAGCTGTTAGTTACTTTACATTTCCAAGTTTGTGCTGTTGAAAGGAAAATAGCTCAGATGAGCAAAAAGAATTGCTGAATGGAAAGACAATTTTGAAAATGTTAAGACTTAACACACCATGCATGCATGGTAGGGGCTTATGATGTTGGATACAACTTAAATTCCTATTTCAGGTTTTTCTGCAGATAATTGTGTCAACTTCACCAGTCTTTTCTAGAGTGTTGTGTTTTCTGGAGACTCAGTGTCTGATGACATGCTAAGGTTCTGGCCTTGTGTGTTATGTGCCGCTTCCTCTGGTTTGTTCTGCTGACCCACACGACTGTGTTATGTATGTGCTGCTATAGGTGTAATGTATGTGTCTTACTTGTTGATTATGTCTGTTGTTTAAAACGATAGAGAAAAGGAGACCATCTTTTCAAGGATATTTTATCCATGAAGGAGAAATACCTGATGACCGCAACTCGGACGGTTGAAGAGAAGGATCAGGAGGCGGACAAGGTGTTCACCTCACATTCTTGGATCTGCTCTGCTTCTTCCTCTTTTCCTCTCATTTCTGTCCACAACCATGGGATGTATTCTTTTTTCTTATGTGTCAAACTAAAATTTTGTAGCATTTAAAAATCCCCGCACATAGAAGCATAGGATTGTTGAGTAGAAACACCATATTGCAGAAGCACTTTACTAGAAAATTCAAAATTTGAAATGCAGAAACATGACCAACTTAGGTGATAAAGGATCCCTAATTTGATGTATGTGGCTGACAGTTGGGAAACTATGATATCATGTGAAAATGTACTGTTTGTGCAACACTTCGCACTGTATTGTTAAAAAAATTGTATGTGCTTTAGGCTACTAGTTTTACTAATCACATGTGGGAACCTTTTGAGTTTTTATTTTTAGATTTTTCATGAGAAAAAAGATTTTGGTGCACTGTAGCAGCCCCTCAGATCTCTCTCTATGCTTCTCCATGTATCAGATACCTGACTTTGGTGAGGAAGTTAGCTTTCTGTTGCTTTTCCATAGTCACTCTTCTCTTTCTGCTGATTTTGCTTGGCCAGCTGGTCGGTTCGTCTCTTGGTGGGACAGGAGAGCTTAGAGTCCAGTGTGGGAGACAGACAAGAAACATGGAATTAGTCATCAGTAAATTTCAGCTACTAAGAAGTAAGTGTTAAGAGGGTAAAAGGCAGTGTCATGTGAGGAGGGACTGGGAAGGCCACTTTGTCGTTCTGGTCACGGGAGACCACATTTGAGTTGAGATCTTAGGGATGACAAGGAGGTGTACATGTGAAAACGTTTCTCTGTGGAGGGAAGAACAGCCCCATGCAGAAGCTGGTTTAAGGGACTGAAAGCCCAAAGGACAAGGGTTTCATGGACAGGGGGGCACACAAGGAAGGAAAGGTCAAGAGGTTGGAACCCAGATCGCGTTAGGGTCTTAAAGACTGTGTGTGCACAGTGTGGAATTGTATTATATGAGTGCTGGGAAGCCCTTGGAAGTTTTTAAGGTGAGTGGTGATGTAATCCCAAGTGTGTCTGACAGAAATTCCTCTGGCTCTGGATGAGAAATGGATTGTATGGGGCACGAATGCAAGTGGAGATCAGTCCTGTCATCCCAGCACTTTGGGAGGCCAAGGCAAGGGATTGCCTGAGCCCGCGGGTTGGAGACCAGCCAGGGCAACTTGGCGAGACCTCATCTCTGCAATAAATTAAAAAAAAAAAAAATTAGCCAGGTGTGATACCGCACGCCTGTGGTTCCAGCTACTTAGAAGGCTGAGGCGGAAGGATCACCCTCGGAGGGATCAACACTGTAATGGCTGTGAGCATGCCACTGCACTCCAGCCTGGGCGACCGAGACTCCAACTCAAAAAAAAAAAAAGAAAGTGGAGATCATAATAAGGAGAAAGGGTTTCCCTTCCACAAAGTAGATTTTGCTAATTAATAGAGAATTTATCAGAACACACAGTGGGGTGGGGAGGAGGCCAAACAAATGGAAATTCCCTAAAGGAATATGAGGTCTAGTAGAGATGAAGCATTTTCAGAACATTGCAGATAATGTCATAAAGCTAAACCAAGTGATATTTATATACTTTAAAGGTTAGCCTGAAATCCAAAGCCAATGACATTCTATGTGTATAATGAGGACTTTGATGTCACATGCTTTGAAATATTACATGTTTTTGAAAATCTGTCCTCCATCAGCAGATCAAATGGCATCATTTGATCCAATTTAAGTCAAGTCTTTGGACTTTTTGCAGTTGGAAAATTTGGAATTTTGGTGGCGACATTTAAAATTACCATTTTTCTGGATCTCATGTTTTAGGAATGTATGGTGGGGACCCAAAAAATGGACTTTATTTATAAAATGTTGTATATTCTTACATGTTTAAACTTCAGTCACCTTCAAAGTATTCTCCATTTGATGCAATGTACCTATCGAGACACTTTCTACTGCTCAAAACAGGTTTTGAAATTGTCAGTGTCAATGCCCTTTAGTGCTTCTGATGTTTTTTGTTTCACCTCTTGAGCATTAGCAAAATGTTTCCCTTTGGGGACTTTTTTCGACTGGGAAACCAAAACCAAAAAAAGCCAGAGCGAGATCCGGTGAATAGGGAGGGTGGGGCACAGCAGTCATGCTGCTTTTGGTCAAAGACTGCTGAAAACTCAGCACACTGAGCAGCTTGTTGTGTGGAAGAAGAGCCAGTCACCTGTTTGCCACAACTTGGGAAGTTTCTTCCACACATTGTGATGTGACTTTCTCAAAACTTCAGATAAAAATTTTGGTTGACTGATCTGGAGGAACAAATTCCGAATCTACTACAAGAGGCTTGCCCTCCAAAAAGATAATTCTCTTTTTTTGGGGGGAGGTCTCCCTCATGCAATATAAAATATCTTGCAGCAGTTATATTAAAGTGGTGTTACATTAAATTTAAATCTGGAAAAGCTCCTGAATGGTTTATCTGAACTTGAAGTTTCTGTTTTGTTCTGTTTTCCTCCCTAACACATGGAGGAAATATATTTTTATTTGATATACATATGGATTGTTCTAGCTACAATCATCCATTTATTTATTCACCTAGCAAACATTTATTGACCACCTACATTGTATCTTTTTTTTTCTTCAAATAACATGCCACTATTCACTGAAAGTATGTGAGCAGTTGAGTTTACTGGAGTGCTTTTTTTGACTTTAACAGAATACTTTTTAAATTTATCTTTATTGTATCTTCATTTTGCAGTTTCCCATTTATCTTTGAATTGTAATCCTTATTGAAAGTAAAACTTAAAAATTATGCATAAGTGTATAATTTGTCCAAAGATTTCAAATTTCCATAATATGAGTTTTATAGCTTTTAAAAAAAGCAGTAATAGTTTCCTGTTCAAAAAATATATAGATTGAACTTTCAGATGGTTTTAGTTTCAATTTGAGTAATCTTGAGAGTAGAACAGAAAATTGAAAACCAAGTCATTTAGTCTCTACTGGGTAAATAACTCTGTTGTATATTCTCTTACATGATATAAGATTTACAGCTTGAACTTGTGTGGTATATTTTCTCATGAACTTAATAGAGGTGACATAGATTGTAATGTTAAGGCACTTCTGAAGATATTTTATGGAATAATCAAGTGCATGGCACTTACTTGAAGGGCACCCTTTTTACCTGCCCTGCCCTAGGCAGTAGTGCAATTATGGGCGTGGTAATTAAACTGAATTAGTCCAGAGGCTTTTCCCACTCCTGAATTTTGCAAGTACATATTCCCCTCGCCCCTCACCCCTCACCCCCTCACCTCACCCCCCCTTCTCCTCACCCCTCTCAGCACACTGTCTAAAGGGGCAGCTCAGAAATGTCAGTGATTTTTCTTTAAGGTCTCGGAAGAGTGGAGTTCATTATGAATTATTCTTGCACACTTCTGACATGAAGGGAGGAGCTTCATGATGACTCTTCACTGTTGGCATTTCAGAAGACGACAGTCCCCAGCCTTCCTGCTGGCCCCTGAGGCAGGTTAGGAACTACCGTTTAAGGGTCAGAAATGTGAGAGCTAAATTTGCTTGAATAGTTTTTCAGGGACAGACGATTTTCACATTGTTCATTGAGCTTTCAGCTCTGAGTTGGCCTTCCTATTTTGAGTTTTTTCCCTTTATTTTTGCATAAAAGGACTGCTCATTCATTCTGAGGCATATTTAGCATGTCTGAGGGAACTTCTTGGGTTGCTGTTGGAATGTTGGTTGTACAGACAGTTAAGGTGGTGTGGAGAAGGGCTGAGATTGTAGGAGCCGGAGTGGTGAGAGACAGTGTTACACAAAATATGGAATATTAAGTGAGCCTTAGGGAGATGGCCCAACTGGAAAGGCCCAGAGTGCATAAAGGGAAGGGCAGTGGAGGCAGGAGGGTGTGAGCACCGGAGCTCTATCACGGGAGTAAGCGTTTCGAGTATAGGGGCCACCGAAGAGGCCAGTCTGTGCAGAGAGGGGCCTGGCAACCACCTCAAGAGTATATGAAAAGCGTTTAGGAGGGCAGGTTGTGCTCAGTTTGTGATCAGCTTCAATGATAAACCAAGGAGTCTCGCTGGTCTGTGTAGGTGACAGTGACCAGAGATCCTCAAGCAGGGCGTTCAGGCAAACCGCATCGCTTGCTGCAGAATCTCCCGGAATTTTCATCTCTTTCATTTGATGCTGTTCTGTGAATCTTCCGTGTGTAACCTTTCCTTTCTTTCCATAGGTCACTGCTGTCGTTCTGACTTATTGTTAATTCTTTGCTCTTCCTTTTCTGACCTCTCTAGAGCCTAGAAGAGGAGATAACATCAATTTTGTTTAGTGGAAAGGGCTTTTCTGATAGCGCGAAAGCCACCGCTTGGACAGCAGAGGGCGCTGTTGTGAACGCTCAGGCACCTTCTGAAAGGCTTGCTTCCTCGCCCTCCTCACCCTTGCCTGAGGTGCATTTTGCTTTGTTTCCCGTTACTAAAAGCCACAGACAGAGTGATTTTCATTCTTTGACCGTTCAGACACCCTTCCCTCCAATGCTTTCGTTGGTGAAATTAACTCTTCTGGGGAGAAACATTCTAGAAGCAATGGCTGAATTTGGATATGGGGAAAAGAGACAGATTGGACATGTCTCCTGCTTTTGATCAGAAGAGAGGGGAATCTGCCTAGATTCAAGAGTCATTTAAACTTTTAGGGCCCAGAGTCTGACGGTTGAGTGGAGGGAAACCCTCCACCAAGTAAAAGCTAAGTGTGTTTTGCAGAGTTGAAGTTTTCAAAACCCAAATTTCAGGCATCCTCTGATGGCTTATTATTTTTTAAATTCTGTTTGTATGGAAAAATTAGAAGTGCCTGCCACATTCCAAGAAATAATCGCTTCTGAACGACCCAAAGGGATTCCCTGAACTTGAGCAGAACCACCTGGCCATTTGGGGTTGAGAAATAACAATAACAATTCACTGGTCTGCAATCATAATGAAATGAGTCTTTTATGAAACGTTCTGACCACTGAATGTCTTTATTATGAAGAAATTTATAAGTAGTTATAGTTAAATGTTATCTGCTTATCAAAATAGAGAACTTTTCAGTTTACTATCTAAGCTCTCTGAGTTTTCAGAAAAACTGGAAAGATGACTCTCTTGTTCCATCAGTAACATGATTTATGGGGTGTTAATTTGAAGCCATGAAAGCATGCCCTTACTGTGCATGTAAGACTGAGAGGGTGGGTCCAAGAGCGTTTGTGAGCATGTGTTGACAGTACTGCAGAGACAGGTCCCGTTTTTGGATCTTGAGCCCATGGGCATCCTGCTTTCTGTGACGAGACACTCCACTGCAGTCAGTGTCCAGAGGGTCTGCAGGGCCGTGCCCGCCTCCGTTCAGCATGGAGAGGCCTTCTTGAAGAAATAGGGCTCAGTTTCTAGCTGAATTATTTTTAAGTTAGATCACAGGCAGTAGTGCCACCTGAATGTCAAAAAACGGGCTATGCTTTAGTTGTATCGTTGTACAGCAGCCTTTTTTAAAATAGGTGTAAGAAAAATGTGAAACTTTAGAACAAACCATAGCCTAGTAATTTGTACTACTGATGTATTCAGTCAACAGGTATTTATTGAACGTTTAGGTACTGTATTACCTGGAATAAATTTCTCCTAAGAAGTAGATGTCCACAGAGGGTCAGAATGAGCGTCTCAAATAATAAACTTGATTCATTTCAGATTTCTAAGATGCTAGTGGAGGGGCTAAGCTGTCACCCAGTGCCATCACTGACGTCCACCCTGACACGTGGCATCCCCTTTGCGGATGCATGTGACAAATTGGGTTGTTAATTACCAATTCTGAAATGAACGTTTTTATGTTACTAGGCTTCTGAAGCCAACTGCCATTTTGCCAGCTAAAGCTGATTTTTTGGAAAAGGGCCAGCACAAGCCCGAGGTGCCATCTCCATGGGTTCCACGCTAAGCTTTCTGGTCTGATTAAGACCAAAACTGTTAAATAGGCTTAGAAGGTTTTCAGATTGATCCCTCAAAATGATCAGTACGCTTTGGGATAGTTCCATTTTTTCCCTTTCCCCTGCCTAAGTAGAGCTTACAGGGCACCTCGAGTAAAAGCATCTCCCTCCTGTGGGAAGATGCTGGCCGCTTTGTGTCCTCGTTTCTTTTTGTGAGCTTTGGCACCTGTCCCGGTTGTCCGCCGTGTGACCCTGGGCCGAGTCTGTGTCGGTTCTCGCGGTTGTCTTGCCGCGTCCGGTGTCTGTCCCGGCGGCGGTCGAGGCCAGCCGCGTCGACCGAGTCCTCGGTCGCCGTCTGTCCGCAGACGCGCCCCAGCCGGGAGCGCCTCGCGCGCAGCCGCGGACGCCGCC